CCTGGTCAGATTGTCAGAAAACTACTTACTCTGCACACACCGTTTTACCAGCTGAGGTATGAGCTGACACCAATACAGACTGGTTATTATCTACACACAAAATAGCTTCTCTCTGAAAGGCATCAAGACTAAATGGGTATTCCTGGAAAAAGAAAAAGAGAAAATACATATTTTTGTCATAGATCATTATCTGTACCTAGTTATTTTCTGATTAAGCATGCAGACTACAGGCAGAAAGAAATCATGCAGTAGACAGCTGTAATTTCAATTAATCTTAAAAGTCAGGAAGAGAAACCATAATGTACCAGTGAAACAACTGTCTGATGTCACAGAATAAAAACAAATCATAACAACACTCCATTCGAGCACTTCATTTTACTCTACCAAACTTAAAATACAGGTATCAATCTCATTCATTACAAACCATCTTTCTGGGCCACTATCTAGCCTTACTAGCAAAGCACAACCTTTTTCCTCATCTACTTAGCCCAAAAGATAACAGAGGTAACTTAACACATTATTGCATTTCTAGTATAGTTTGGACTTTGCCTGCCAGTCTCCAAGAAGAGTCTTACAAAATCAGTAATACATGGTATTTGCCTGTGAGAGAGTGCCTCCCAGAAGTTTTCACTGAACAAGTTCACAAATGCCTGTCTGCCAAAGCCTACCAAGACATTCACTGGATAGTTTTGCAAAGTGTGGGTGGAGAGCTGAATACTACAGTCATGAAAGTTTAGCGTTATATTCTTAGAGCTGATCATCATACTCAGGCGTGTTAATTCTAATATTAAATTCACAGTTTATCAAGCAAGAAGTCCCACTCCTTCCCTTCAAGACTGCGCTGGGACTGTTTATCTGCTTATTCCTGCAACCTTCAGCCAAAACAGGGGCATTCTGTTACTGCAAGACTCCCTCCTTCAAATGCTTTTCATGCTGATCTTGCAGAGCACCATGCCCATGGTTTATACAAGAGGTAAGTGGACATCAGTGCTTTTAACCCCCTTTGTACAAATCTCACACACATACTTTTGCAGGTTTTCCAGTCCTTGGCTTCAGACCTGTGAACTCTTCATCTGCTGGAAGTGCAACCTATAAAATGCATTTTAAACAAAAATATTAGACCATCCTGTGTCCGCTCCAGTCACAAGTAAAGCTATGACTACCTTGGGCAAGAGATTACAAATATATTAAAACTTACCTGAATTTCTATTGTCCTGGTTCTATAGGCTCATGTTCCAGTGAGCCCTTCCTTCCTCTTACCATCTCTACCCACCTCTATCACCAACTACTTTTCTTAGTTCTGAAACTCTCTGCTGCCCGACGTGAAATGTGTCTGCTTTAGCTAGCTTGAAACATGAACTTTTCAGGCCTAGATGCAGTCAGGGCTTCTGACGACCAGAGGTTATACGCAATTACTCAGTTCATATTGATCTCACTCCCCTTACAAGGAAAATGTCTTTACACACGTGAAGTTCCTGTCCCTTGAAGGGACGAATGTTCAAACATTCTCTCATGTTAAATACTCAAGTTCTCTTCAGTTACTACATTACAACACGAGCAATAATTTTAAGTGTTACCAAATAACCTGTAATTAGTACAACAATAAATATAAACAATACTATATAAATATTATGATACCAATAGTAACACATGCACTTGTACAAGAAAGTCTAGACTTTCCATGTTCACTTGCATTGCACTTACCTCATGTGTGCAGCCTTCAACAGTTTCCACAGCTTGAACCTTCACATGTGGCATCAGGTCTGCCAGACTAAAAATACTTAAGTTAGGATTGTCAGAAATGTATGTGAAAACTCTGTTTTCTTTACATATGGGAAGAAGTTAAACGTCACCTCTATTTTAACTGCAACAAAACAAAACCAAAAAGATGCACAAACTTAAACTGAATAGTACTAAGTACTACTAAGTATTAAGATTACTTGACAGTTACATTTTACTATACGATAACTACATACTTTAGCTATCACACTTTCTGATTTTTAACACCTAAAAAAATTTGTATCACAAAACATCTTTTGAATCACAGAATGGCCTGGGTTGAAAAGGACCATAACATCATGTAGTTTCAACCCCCTGCTATGTGCAGGGTCACCAATCACCAGATCAGGCTGCTCAGAGCCACATCCAGCCTGGCCTTGAATGCCGCCAGGGATGGGGCATCCACAACCTGTTCCAGTGTGTCACCACCTTCTGGTGAAGTGTGAAAAACTTCCTCCTAATATCTAACCTAAACCTCCCCTTGTCTCAGTTTAAAACCATTCCCCCTTATCCTATCACTATCAACCCTCATAAACAGCCGTTCCTCCTCCTGTTTACACTCTCCCTTTAAGTACTGGATTGCCACAACAAGGTCTCCCTACAGCCTTCTGCTCTCCAAGCTAAACAAGCCCAATTCCCTCAACCTTTCCTCATAGTAGAGGTGCTCCAGCCCTCTGATCATCTTAGTGGCCCTCCTCTGGACCTGCTCTAAGAGCTCCACATCCTTCCTGTACTGGGGTCCCCTGGCCTGGATGCAGTACTGCAGATGGGGCCTCACAAGAGCTGAGTAGAGGGTGACAATCACCTCCCTCTCCCTGCTGGCCACCCCTTTTTTAATGCAGCCCAGAACACAGTTGGCCTTCAGGGCTGCAAGAGCATACTGCTGCCTCATGACCAACCCCCATCAGACTTGTCTACCAGAATCCCCAAATTCTTCTCTTCAGGACTGCTGTCAAGGAGATCTTCTCCCAGTCTTTATAAATACCTGGGATTGCCCTGACTCAACTGCAGCATCCTGAACTTGGCTTTACTGAACCTCATTAGGTTTTCATGGGCCCACTTATACAGCCTGTCCAGGTCCCTCTGGATGGCTTCCCTTCTCTCCAGTGTATTGACTGCACTGCTCAGCTTGGTGTCATCCACGAACTTGCTGAGGGTGTACTCGATGCCATCATCACTGATGACCCTTTGGCTGTGTCCAGCCAGCCAATTCCTAATCCATCAAAAATCCATCCATTTAAAGTCCATTCTTCAAATCCACACCTCTTCAATTTAGAGAGAAGGATGTGGTGAGGGACCATATCAAAAACCTTGCAGAAGTCCAGGTAGATGACATCCATCGCCCTTCCTCCATCCACCGAAGCCGTCACTCCATCATAGAAGGCTACCAGATCAGTCAGGCACGACCTGCCATTGGTGAAACCATGCTGGCTGTCTCAAATCACATCTCACATGTGCCTTCTATGAGGATCTGCTCCATGATCTTCGCAGGCACAGAGGTGAGGCTTACTAGAATGTGGGTCCCTGGGTCTTCTTTCCTCCTTGGGAGTAACATTTCCCTTTTTCCGGTCACCGGGGACTTCATCAGATAGCCAAGTTTTTTCAAATATGACAGAGAGTGGCTCAGCAACCACACCAGCCATCTCCCTCAGAACCCTGAGACGCATATCATCCAGCCTTGTGGACTTACATACATTCAGCTACATGAGGTCTTGGATTGTTCCACTGTTATAGGGGGACAGAAACCACTCCCCACACCCTCACCTAGAGTTTCAGGGTCCATGGCATGGGAAGCCTGAAGACTGAGGCAAAGCATTCATTGAGTACCTCAGCTTTTCCTACGTCCTAAGCCAGCTGTCCATTACCTTTCATCAGAGGGGAAACTCTCTCCTTGTCCTGTCTCCTCCTGACTATATGCCTGTAGAACCCCTTCTTGTGTAGAACCCTCTCACATCCCTTGCCAAGTTCAGCTTAATCTGTGCCTTGGCCTTTCTAATTCTATCTCTATGCATACAGACAACAGCCTTGTATTCCTCCCAGGCTACACAACCTTGCTTCCACTTCCTGTACATTTCTCTCTTTTGCAGCTCAGAAAGCAAATGGTATCCTGGGCTTCATCAGAAAAGGGTGGCCAACAAGGACAGGGAGGTGATTGTCCCTCTCTACTCTGCTCTCATGAGGCCCCACGTGGAGTACTGCATTCAGGTCTGGGGACCCCATACAAGAAAGAGAGGAAGATTTTGGAGAGGGTCCCAGAGGAGGACCACAATGATAATCAGGGGACTGAAGCACCTCCCCTACGAAAAGAGACTGTGGGAGCTGGGCTTGTTCAGTCTGGAGAAGGAGGGGTTGCAGCTTAATGATCCTTGAGGTCCCTGCCAACCCAAGCCATTCTATGATTCTATGATTATTTCAGAGAGCTACTGTGGGCAAGCACACCTTTTAGTGACACCACTAAACGTGAAACTGACTTAAAATGGCAACTCTGGATCTACTTTCCTTCTTTACAAGCACCTTTTGCTTACAGTGTTACTCCTCATTAGCACACCCTCACATAAACATATCAGATTCAACAGATTCGTATCTGAATTCATACTAGAGCAAAGCCTTACACACTCATCCATCACAACAGGCGTTCAGTTAATCATTTTGTCCAGCTACTGTTCCTTTACATAGCCTTTGTAAGCAAGCCGGGTACTTACTTATTATCTTCTGACGTGACATCTTCCAGTTTCGGCTTCTTTCCCGACCTCGCTCCTTCCGTGCTGTCGACCTCAGCGTCCCTTCTGGTTTTCCCCAGCCCGGCTCCCGACGGTACGTCCTCCTGCCGCTTTCTGCAAACACAGAGGGCGCAGATCGCACCGTGCTCAGGGCGCAACCCGCTCAGGAAACGCCCCACGCGCGCAGCGTTTCCCCACCAAAGCTTCCCGCCGAGGCCAGCCACCCCGGGCCGGGCCGGGCCGGCCCAGCTCCCCCAGCCTCACCCCAGTCCTCTGGCAGCCTCAGCGACACCCGCTTTGCTTCTGGCGGCGGCCGCGTCACCCTCAAACACGCTGAAAAGCTCATCCCCAAACGCGTCCGCCATCTTGCCGCGCTCCCACAGCGCCCCGCGCGGCGCAGCCCCTCCCGCCAACCGTTCCGCAGGTGCCGCCAATGGCAGCGGGGGGGCGGGCGATATCCAGAGCCACCTCTGGAAGCTTCCGCTTCCGGTACGGGGCGTCATGGGCGGCCGCGGCAAGAAGCACCGCGGCGGCGGCGGCTCGGCCCACGCTGCTTCCGCCGCCGCCGCGGCCACCGCTGCCGCTAGATCGCGAGCCGCCGCCGAGGCCGGTGCCGCTGCTGCCAAAGAGGCGGCGGGCAGCAGAGCGGCCCCGCGGCCGTCGCCCGCCTGCAAGGAGCCCCGCGTCAAGCAAGGTAGCGGGGCCCGGCTGCGGGAAGGAGGGGCCCGGCCGGCGGCCGTGCGCGGGCGTCGCATTCGGATCTCTTCGTACGGCGGCTCTGTCGGGGGGAGGCGGGGTAGAAAGGGGCTGGTCTGAAGTGAGTGAGCATGGAGAGAGTGTAGTCCGGAGTCTGTCCTAGCGGAGCTGCCGGGCCTGCGCCGGGCCGTCCCGTCCCGGGGTGTTCTAGGGCGGTCTTGTGGCTGCCTTCCGCTGAGGTGGTCAGAGACAGCCTCTCGGGAGGCTGCCTGCTCTGTTTGTTTTGACGTGGTGCTTTTCCTATCTGTGCACAGAGCCGAGTTAGCCTGGGTTGTGTCTTATTTTCGCGTGGTGGGACTTTCGAGGTGATATTAGCTGCAGGGCAGGCAGCTCCCCAGTTGGGCTGTGGGAACGACAGGACAGACTGCTGGAAACGGCCCTGAGCTGGTACCTCACAGCACTGCCTGCTTCTTTCGGCACACTGCATCTGTCAGACACGGTTCTGATGCCCGGTAGTGCCAGCAGCAGCCTGTACTGCTGTTTGTGGTAGTGGTCTGGCTGCTGGAGATCACTGCCTGTTAACATGAAGTCCTGCAGTCTCTTCCGCTATGCTGTGTTTTGGACTTCCTGAGCCTCTCAGTACGTGCTCTGTTTTCTCAAATCTGGTTTCTGATGCCTTTCATGTCTCACATTTTCAATACCATAATTCTCTATTGCTCTCAGAAACTGAAGAGTGGTCAGATGCTGCCCAGGGAGATGTGGTTGAGTCACCATCTCTGGAGCTGTTCAAGAAGTGTTTAGGTGTTGTACTAAGGGATATGGTTTAATGGGGAAACATTGATGGCAGGTAGATGGTTGGACTGGATGATCTTGGCAGTCTGACCTGGATGATTCTATGATTCTATCTCATTTATATGCTATGGTCAAAAACAAGTTGGTTTAAGTGATAAGTTAGCATAACCCTAGTATTGAACAATTGGACAGAGTAGTAGTAATTACCTTGTCAGTGCCTAATTGCTGTCTGTAGCTCCAGACCAGAGTTGACTACTCTTTTCTGAAATGCTATTCTCTGCATCCAGTCCTGACCCAGCAGCAAACTGTCCTCGTGCAACTTTGCAGGCTGTCCAGTGCTGGCATGCTATCCTGCCTTCCTAGAGGCTGGGTGGCGGCAGTACTTCCTAGAGGGCTTCACTCTGTCCACTGGTCTACAGGGTGCTGGAAGCTCTGAGGTTATCTGGTTTATGTATGGTTGCGCAGTAGCAGAAACAGCATATGCATTCTCAAAAAGAATGACATCCAACATCAAGCTGTGCTATCAGACAGAGGCCAAAAACAGATATCACCTAGGTAGAAACAGGTCAGACATTCAGTGATACTTCCAGAGGTTACTTTTACATTCTCCCACACCAATTGTAGCTGAGTAACCTAGCTAGGTACCATTTCTACCCAATATCCTCCTCAACTTCCTTCATTGCTATTCCTTGGTAGAAAGTCTTTCTGTACCATCAATCTTGTAGCCATTATACGCATGCATGTTACAGGCATAGTAGTATAATCTTTCTCTGCTTTAACCTCCCACATATTAGATCTGCTTTAAAAACTCTCTTTATAAAGAGTGTTTTCTGTGCTCTGCTCATGTAATTGATGATTACTGCATTTTGCAGGTCCAAAAACTTACAGTTTTAGTTCACCAATAGATTCCAGTGCTGCTGCAGCTGCTAATCTAGATAAATCTATTCTTAAGGTGAGTATCTTCATGTAAAACAGTTTTGTTTTTTATGGTACTGTTTTACCTGAGAAATGTTTACTCATTGCTATGCAAGTAAGCAACATTTGTGTATTAGTCCTTGATGCTTGAGCTGCTTGAGGTTTTGAGTTTGCCTTGAGAAATAGGATAGACTATTACGGCAGAAGAACACCTGTATTTGAGTAACAAAAGATACTTTACATGCTTCAAGTTTTAGGAATGCTGAGGATATTAGAATTGCTATATCTAGTTTTTTGTAAGCCAAATAAGGAAGATAGACTAAAAAGATTGTCTTAATGATCAAATTATGTTTTATCAGCTCTTTTATAAGTGGAAAAGGAAGGTCTTGCTCATTACAGTAGGTTATTTTCTTTCTTACAATGTAACAACGGAGATAGTTTCTCCCTTGGAGATGTAAATGAGCATTTCTTGATTGGGAACGAATTGTTCTATTTCAGGTAGAAATATACAGTTAAAAAAAAGAATAATCTGTTCTTTTTCACAAGAAAGTTTTACCACATTTGTGGAAAAACAGAAGTATGTATTTGAATATGCATTTGAGTGTCTGTATTTCCATTACTCTGTCATAAAGAGCGTTGAAATGTCATAAAAACTTGTAATGTTTTGCTTCACACTGACTACTCCTTATGCAGGTAATGATAAGCAGTAATTTGGAGAAAAGGATTATTGATGTAATCAATGACCATAAAAAACAAAACAATGACAAAGGAATGATTTCCAGAAGACTGACTGCTAAGAAACTACAGGTAGAGTTTAAAATGACCTTGCTTATTTGGGCTGTCTGTTTTTCGTCATTTATACTCCTGTGTATAGTACAAACTAGTGTACCATGTTTTCCATTAATTTCATTAATAATTAGCCAGTGGAATCAGTTAGTATGTTTATCAGAAAAGATGTCTCCGTGCTTTCGGTAATCACAATCACTTTTCAAATAGATAGCATAGTAGACTGTAATCTCTGTTCTTTTGTTTTCTATTCTATTGGTTCTGTACCATAGCTGAAAAATTGCAGGTTTATTCTTCCAGCCAGAAAATATGTACACTGTATCAGAGATAGGAAGTGGCTTTATTTCTACATGTGTGTATATTTACAATTAAAATTATTATTAAATTTTTACTCAGAACAGGATTTTTCTATTCCGTCTTTTCATAAGTTAATTTATCCTTTTTGTGTCCATTTAATATCAGTTATTTGGGAAGTGGAGAAATAGGAGTGTGAGCCTATATTAAATTGATACTTTAAATGCTAATATTTTAAAACTCATTATTATTTGTAGGATGTTTACATGGCTTTACAGAGGTTTTCTTTTAAGACTGAACACATTGAAGATGCAATGAAAAATACACTTTTATATGGTGGTGATCTTCATTCTGCACTTGACTGGCTTTGTTTAAACCTTCCTGATGGTAAGTACGGCGGCAGAGAACTGAACACAGTTTTTAATAGAACAGTATGACCGGCTCTGATGTGGCAGTACTTGCCGGTAGCGGTCATATAGGTTGTTCCACTAAGACCGGTAGTCACAGCAGTGTTCTTTTCCTAGTTATGCTGCTGATTGTTTTTGTGACTTTTTATAGTCACAGGTCCTTTTCTTCCTACTTGTAGAGTTCTTTGAAAGTCCAGAAAGTAAATATTGACCTACCTAAATGTTGAAGCTCAACTTCTATTTCAGGCATACTGTTTTTATTTTACCTTCTTCTGGTTGGTACCCGACATAGAATCATGCTTTACGTTACAATTTCAGTAGTTGTTTTTGACATAATTTGTGACCTGTTTTGTATTTTTTTTTTAATTTATTTTGAAGATGCCTTGCCTGAAGGCTTTAGCCAGCAGTTTGAAGAGCAGCAACATAGACCTAGAGCAAAATTTTGTTCTCCAGTGTCACAACGTGAACATCCACCTCGCTTAACAGATAAGAAAAAGAAAGAGAACAGCCCTGAAACTAAGGTAATTAATGAAATTTATTTGTATGTGGTGGTAAGGGAGCACAAAATTTTCCAAAGCGTGGAATTTGCAACAACTTCAGCACTGACATGGCAAAATTCTGAAAATAGGTTATGCTTAATAATTCTCTCATTATTTTAACTATAATGGAGCAGTCATGTGAAAGTTAACTTTTTTCCATGTAGAGTCTTTTAAATTCTACAGTTCATTGTTTGAGTTAACTAACTGCACATCATAGCTTATTTTTTCTCCTGGATTCATTCTCTTTATGACAAGAAAGACTGTCATTTGTACATGATACAAGTCAAGTTACATGATAATTTTAAACAGTAGTTTTCTTAATACTGAGATAAATGTCAGTGCTTTTGCTTACTGTTACTACTCATAATTTTGGTTACCCTCCCTAGGAGACAAGTACAAAAGAACAGAAAGAAATGAGTGTGAAGGAGTGGATTTTGCGGTACGCTGAGCAACAGAGTGACGAAGAGAAAAATGAATCTGTGAAAGAGACAGATGAAGAGAAGTTTGACCCAGTAAGATAGAATGTTTGACCCAGTACGATAGAATGTTTCATGAGAAGTCCTGCAAAAACTGTTAAGTCTAATACATCTGCAGTTTGTGGATCTGATTATTAAAAACTGCAGGTTGGATAGCTAGTCCATTTTTAAGTTATCTTAAAATTTTACATCATTGCAGGCAACTGAATGGAAATATGTTGGCAGTTTTCCTAAGTTGTTTTTCTTCTTTCTGGACTGGGCTCAGAATACTGAATGCATTTTGCTGGGAAGGAAGAATTCCTGAAATAAATCTCAGTGAGATAAAGAAAGTCTCTGTAAATCTAAGAGGCTTCAACTGTTAAATAACAGTTAAACCATAAATGAGGAATGACTAGTTTTTAAGCTTGATATAAAGAATGATGTGTAACTTCTACTGAACTTAAAACAAACAAACAAAAAAAAACATGTAATATTAAGCTTGTAATTGATAATTGTTTGAAATAGAATGAAAGGTATGTACATCTGGCTGCAAAGCTTTCAGAAGCAAAAGAACAAGCAAGCGTCTCCAAGCAAGCCAAAGACAAGCAAGGTCAGAAGGTGGCACAAGAGAAAATAAGAAGAATTCAACAAGGTAGCAGCAAGCAAATTAATTTTGTTTTGTGGCCTGTGTATCTGTTAGTTAAATAGGTTGATTGAATAAGATTAAATTCATTTAATCGTGTTTCACACCACTGTGTGAACTACAGACTGTCCTGAACTTACTCTTTTCATGGGGATTAAGCTAGAAAAAGTCAATATCATTTCATTAATTTGAATTTTTGGGTTCTCAATATGAATTTATGTAATTAATTAAACACAGATACACAGCGATTGATGAGAATAAGTTATATTCTCTATTTGACAGAAATGGCAATGCTTGAAGAGCATCCTGTCTTTGATCCAGCTATAAAAACGTCAAACCAACAACAGAAGGAAAAGAAAAAGGCTCCCCCACCTCAACCTCAAGAAACCACTCTGAATTTGAGTTTGCTTGAAAAACCTGATGGTACTGCAAAGGAAGAAAAAGGTTTGAAAGTTGTACAACAGATTTACAGTATCACTTTGTTAAGGATTATGACAATTCATTGTGCAATTGTGAAGTTCTGGTGGTGGGCAAAGGCAGGTGGGCTGTCTTGCTGACTTAGCTGATCTGGTAGGCTCTGTATTTATTTTTTAATGCTTGATGGCAAACTATTTCTGGCATACTGTTAGGTCTAAAATCTTGCATTTTTTCCATTGCTGTGGGACTTGTGACTATTGCCATTAATTAACACCTTCGCAACTTTCTGTACTATATTCATCTTAAACCTTCAAACTATTATATTAGTTTTGGACAAACACTGGTAAAAGCTCTTAAATTATTGAGTTATCAACAATAGAATATTGCAGTTAATTTTCTGCTAGATACCTCCTTTTGAAGAAGCTGGGATTTCTCTGAGGTATCAGCACCAGTATTTTCTATTTATTTTATAGACCTGTTCAACACTTTAGAAAAGTAACTGACTGGTTCAATAAAAACATGTTTGAACCAAAACTTAACAATTCTTGATTGTAACAGATTTAAAATAAACTTTGGGAAAATTAAAACGTGTATCATTTTACTCTTGTAGCCAAAAAGAAAGAACCACTAGATATAAGAAATTTTGATTATAGTGCTCGAAGCTGGACTGGTAAATCACCAAAACAATTTTTGATTGACTGGTGCAGGAAGAATTTTCCCAAGAGCCCAAATCCTGCTTTTGAAAAGGTTCCAGTTGGAAGATACTGGAAATGTAGGTATGTATTTCCCATGATTTTTTCAATTTTCCTTTTGGTTCATTTAAATGTAGAAATGCTGGTTACTTGTGTTTTGTCAGGTTGGTCTGGATTTAAGTAGATAATAGTGTTTGTCTGAAGTGATTTTTGTCTAGCAGGTAGATATTTTTACGCTGGATGGCTTTACAAAAGTAATCCCAAGGCTGGACAATATGGCAAAAATAGAACTGATTGATCCCTTAAGGGGGTTAGCTTATCAAGCTTCAAATTCTTTTTCAAAGCAAATTCTGGGAGATAATTTTGGACAACTGACTTCTAGAATTCTTGGTCAAACCAACATGTTAAATCTTTGGTTTTAGTCATTAATGTTTTTTTTTTTGTATTCCCCTTTTGGGATTTCTTTTAAAGTGGGAGTTAGAGAGTTGAGTGGAAGCTACTGTTAATCTGTAACCAAAACATTCCAATTCTCTTTGAATGTGAATCTATAATGCAGTGCTATGAAATAGAATATTATTATATATAGAGCAGGTAAACATGGTATTACCAATTAGCTGTACTTCTTGGAGCAACTAAGTAAAGTGAAAATCCCATCTTCTTGCTCAAAGTAGAAGCTATGAACAGTTTGAATGTATTGTTCCTCTGAGACTGTATTACATCTGATTGCTGTTGTGTCTGGCATGTATCCGCTAACAGTCTGCTGAGATGTTAACATCTGTTTAACTATACTTTCAGTATCTAAACTGTGTTAAGTAATTATAGAAGTACTGATTACAAAAAGTTGTTGAGTAATAGTGAGCTGAGTTTCTATATTTTCACTCCTTTTTTTTTTAAAAAAAAAAAAAACAAAACATTAAAATGTGTGCTGTTAATATAGCTAGGAAAGATTAAGAGAAATGCCTGTATGAATCTGTCTTTAAGGGTCAGGGTTACCAAGTCATCAGATGATGTAATGATGATGTGTCCTACAATTGTAACAGAAGACAGTATGCAAGCACAACACTTAGCTGCTACTTTGGCACTCTATCATCTAACTAAGGGACAGGTAAGACACTAGTGTTTCTGTTTTCAGCTTGGAATCTGTTTGCATTTTTACATTATAGTATCTTTAGTTAAATTCTAGAAACAGTTTATTGAAATGTTAGCCCTTATTTGCTTGAGTTATACCTTTATTTGATTTTACTGACAGTCACATGTGCCACAGCACATGGAGAGAAAGTTAATCTGTATTAAAACTGTTCTTCCAGTGTTGTGAAGAACACAAGATTAAGACTATAAAGCACTTTTGATACCTGTGTTCCTGTTTTCATAGCCTCTGTTCTGATCTTCAAGTTCATTTATGCATAACATTAGTGATAACTGCGTGTAGTATGCAGAGTAACTTTTTAATTTTTTCTCCCAAAGTCAGTTCATCAGTTGCTGCCTCCTACCTACCGAGATGTCTGGCTAGAGTGGAGTGATATTGAAAAGAAAAAGGAAGAAGAAAACAAAATAGAAACTAACAAGCCTCGTGATACCTTTATTGCTAAATTATTAAACAAATTAAAACAGCAGCAGCAGCTACAATCTGAAAAGCAGCCAGAAGTATCTGAAGGTCCTGAAGATTCCTGGGAGAACCTAGTTTCTGATGAGGACTTCAGCAATACCTCCCTTGAGACCGCAGACATCGATAATTTGGAACCTTCAAGGAATTTGTTCAGAAAGCTGCAAAGTTCCTCCAGATACCAAAAATTCCTGAAAGAAAGACAAGAATTACCTGTATTTAAGCACAGACATTCAATTGTGGAAACTCTCAAAAAACATCGAGTAGTTGTTGTAGCTGGTGAAACAGGCAGTGGGAAGAGTACTCAGGTTCCCCATTTCTTGTTAGAAGACTTGTTGCTGGATGAGGGAACAAGTAAATGTAATATTGTGTGCACACAACCCCGAAGAATTTCAGCAGTGAGTTTGGCCACAAGGGTTTGTGAGGAGCTAGGCTGTGAATCTGGACCTGGAGGAAAAGTAAGAAGTATCTTTATTCCTATTTCAATTTTGATCAAATGTAGGGAGCAGGATACTTGTTATGAAGTAAAACACATAATTATTTGGTTGTGTAAGGAATAGTGAAATGTATTTTTCTTCTTTTTGCTGTGTCTGCTGTTTTTTATAGATTGTCATCTGTAGACCACTGAGTATGTATACATGATTTCTTAAAAAAAAAAAAAAAAAAAAAGTGACTAAGAGGAACTGTTTGATGATGGGGATTGTCACATACCAGCGCAGATTGCTGTGGGAGGTCTCATATCCGTCATGGATAGACAACTGTGCTGAATAAAGCTGAGCAGTCAAATCTGTCTTCAAGTCTGCCTCAGTTTTGAGGTCCCTTCCAAATAAGCTGTAATTTTACTTGTAGAAATGCAAGGTCCTGTGTGTTCTGTGGTAGTCTGTGTGAAATTCCTAGAGGGGCTCCATAAATACATTATAAAAAGAAGCCTTAAAGAATACTGAGCATCTCTTTACTGCTCTGGAGAAATTTACTGTCTTCTAATGCGTTTTCCCTTTTGTAACAAAGACAAATGCGTAAGGGAAAAACAATGTGGAAGTAATCGTGCCGATTAGATAGTAACATGTACAGTATCAAATCTAACGTGCTTAAAGTTAATATTGAGTGTTTGTTGCTTGTTTGCTATTTTAAATTATGGCTATTTTTTAATATATTATTTCTCTTACAGAACTCCCTGTGTGGGTATCAAATTCGTATGGAGTCAAGAACAGGAGAAGCCACCAGACTGCTGTACTGTACAACAGGTGTTTTGCTTCGGAAACTTCAAGAAGATGGTCTTCTCTCAAGTATATCTCATGTTATTGTAGATGAGGTTATTAACTCTTTTGTTCTACAGAAACTATAGTTATCCTGGGCCTAGATTTCTGACAGCTTTCTTGTCTAATCTTGTGAAAAGATTAGAAAGATTGCAAAAAGGATCTGGGGATCTACAGGCCTGTCAGCCTGACCTCAGTGCCAAGAAAGGTTATGGAATAGATCATCTGGAGTGAGACCACTGTAGCATCTGTGGTACAGCTGGGGGATCGGGCCCAGTCAGAATGGGTTTGTGAAAGGCAGGTCCTGCTTTACCAACCTGGTCTCCCTCTTTGATTAAGTGACCTGCCTGGATGGATAAGGGAAAAGCTGTTGATGTAGTCTGCTTAGGCTTCAGCAATGCCTTTGACACTGTCTCACAGTGTCAGGTTCTCTTGGAGAAGCTGGTAGCCTGTGTCTTGGACAGGTATAATACTCCTTTATGGGTAAAGAACTGGCTGGCCAAGCCTAGAGAGTGGTGGTGAACTGGTCACGAGTGGTGTTTGCCAGGGGTTAGTACTGGGGCCTGTCCTGTTTAATATCTTTATTGATGACCTGGATGAGGGGACTTAGTTACCAGTAAGTAAGCAGATAACAAATCCACACTTCCTTCCATCTTGGTATCTAGGGGTAGGAAAGCCCTGCAGAAGGATCTGTACAGGCAGGTTCACTGGGCTGAGGTCAGTGGGAAGGAGTTCAATATGACCAACCAGCTCCTGCATTTTGCCCAAAGCCTGTAGCGCTGTCTAGGCTTGTGACCACAGTGGCTGGAAGGCTGCAGAAGAAATGGGCCTAAAGGTGCTGCTTAGCACTCAGCTAAACATGAGCCATTAGTGTGCTCAGATGGCCAAGAAGGCAAATAGTATCCTGTCTTATATCAGAGCAAGTGTTGTCAGCAGGAGCAGGAAAGTGATTGTTTCTCTGTATACTCAGCTCTGATAAAGGCCGTGCCTCAAATACTGTGTTTGGTTTTGAGCCCTTCACTACAAGAAAGACATCAAGGCCTTGAAGCCTGTCTGGAGAAGGGTGATGGTTAGGGTTCTGGAGCACAAGTTGTATGAGATGCAGCTGAGCAAACTGAGGTTGTTTAGTTTGGAGACGAGGAGGCTCAGGGGAGGCTTTATCACTGTCTACAACTACCTGAAAGGAGGTTATGGTGAATTGCAGGTTAGCTTTTCCCCACGTAACTAGCAACAGGACTACAGGGAATGCTTCAAATTGTGCCAGAGGAGATTTCTGTTGGACGTTAGGAAAATTTTCTTCACTGAAAGAGTGGTCAAACACTGAAATGGGCTGCTCAGGGATGTGGTGGAGTCATTCAAAGAATATTCAGATGTTGTACTAAGGGACATAATGCAGAAATATTAGTAGATGAATGGTTGGACTGGGTGATCTTGGAGGTGTTTTCGAACCTTGGTGATCCTAAGATATATTTTTTTTCTTCTTCTAGGTACATGAAAGAAGTGTCCAGTCTGATTTCTTACTAGTTATCTTGAAAGAGATCTTGCATAAGCGTTCAGACCTGCATCTGATTTTGATGAGTGCTACTGTAGACAGTGAGAAGTTTTCCAGCTATTTTTCACACTGTCCCATTTTAAGGATCTCAGGGAGAAGTTACCCTGTTGAGGTAGGTGAATGTTTCTTTGATTATAAAAGGCACTCTGTACCTATACAGTGTTTGACTAGTTAGCATGTACAGTGAATGTAACTATGTAACTTTTATAAGAAAAATAACTTAAGCGTGTATCTCAATGACTAGTAGACTCTTTCCTTTTTGAAAACTTAAAACTGTTTCAGTGCTTTGAATTGTAATATTATATGGTTTTAGTGTTTTTTCTGATCGGTAATCCATTGATTAATGGAATAACAGGAGTTAGAAGAGACAGAGATAATCTGAAGATAATCTAGTGCAACCCCCTTGTTAAAGCAAGTTCCTTACTGTGGGTTGCACAAGAAAGCATCCAGGAAGGTTTTTAATATCTCCAGAGAAAGAGATGTAAAATCAGTTCTTGCTTGAGCAGCAACATTATTATTCTTCTCTGTTCATTCTAGATAGCACAAAAAGGAGAGAGGTTGATTTCTCTGTACTTTCTACATGTACAAGCAGATACTTCCTACATACCCCATATGCAATGCCAAAGTTGTATGTTTCTCATACTTCTATAGGCTATGATAAATGCAGTGTTGATTGTTATATGGGGTACATTAAAGTCATTGGTTCTAAATTAAGTTTTCAAAAATCATGAAAAATTAAGCCAAATTTGCCAAATCTATTACAGTATTAATACAGGAAAGGACGACCCATTCAACTCTGTATGTAAGCTTTAAAGAACAAAGAAGCTGCTGAATAGTTTTTGATATACCTTTTAATTTCTTTTGGGATTTTTCATTGAAGGTTTTCCATATTGAAGATGTAATTGAAGCAACTGGCTATGTTCTGGAGAAAGACTCAGAATATTGTCAGAAATTTTTAGAGGAGGAGGAAGAAATAATGATAAACATTACTACAAAAGGAGGAGGCACCACAAAGTATCAGGTAAAATAGGCATTTCTAGTTTCAGTTTTAAATTTTTATTTTATTACGTTCAACTACATTTGTTAAATGTAGTTGGAGTGTGTAAAACAATGTTATTTCAGCAGTTGATTCAAGACAGACACAATGGCTCTTCTGTAGTGGAAATAAAGTGTTTAGTAAATATATGTCCTTTTGTTTTTTCATCTTCCAATTCCTCTATAGCTGTCATGATTTTAATGTATTTGACGCTGAGTTCTGTTGTTTCTCTTGTGCAGACTCCCAGCTCTAGACCTGTAAGCAGCATCAGGGAAAAGCATTTGAGTTAGTTCTCCCAAAGAATTATTCTCACTAGTGAACTGAAAAAGAAATGACAAGGCCACATCCTCTCAAGATCCTCCAGCTTGGCATGCCAAATAAGATGATTTCTGTAAGACAGTAGAACTTTTTGGATCAACAGGCTGTGATTAATACTATAACCATTCTACAACGACAGTTGTACTTGCTTCTGAATTACAACTCTTTAAGGAAGGAGGTTACAAATGTCTTTTGACTTCTGGCAACTTTAGTCTGTTCGTGCCTGTCGGACAACTTGCTGTCTTGAGGCTTCTCCGGGTATACTTAGTTTGGTGTGATGACGCAGGTGTACCTATTCTGAATATGCTGTTCTCTGCTAATTTTGTCCAGTGATGGCTAGACAGATCATCAAAGCAACATGTTTTAGTTGAAGTCAAAGTACTCTGAAGTGGTCCTCCATTTTTTATTATTTGTGTTGAGACTCCAGTCCATGAGAATGTGGTGGCGAGCTTCTTTCTAAAGTGCTTTAATTAACAGTAAAATAACTTGTAACAGTGAAATAACTTAGAACAGTGCTACCTAATATAGAGGCCTGTTAAGTATGTATCTCTGAGATATTTATAGGCAATGTGTAGTTCGCAGAATGAACATCCTGTATACATACACTGGATATGTAGATGTCTTTGATTAAATCTAACTCTCACTGATGTCCATGTGAAGTTAGTCAATTAATTGTCACTTATCACAATATCTACTTCAAGGGGCCCTAAAGTAAGTGACAAATTAACATTCTCCTCTTGTTTTAAACCACCAAACATGATTTTTTTTTTTTTTCTTCCTTTCTAGGAGTATGTCCCAGTCCAGTCTGGATCTGGTATTGATTTGGCGCCTTACTATCAAAAGTATAGCAGTCGGACCCAGCAAGCAGTCTTCTATATGAATCCTTACAAGATCAACCTTGAACTTATTTTGGAGCTGCTTGCATACTTAGGTACTTCTTAAGATGTTTATGTACTTGTGACTGCCCTTTCTACTTACTTCCCAGGTTTACTTGTATTTTTATATACATATGCTGCAAGTGTGTGTGTGTGTGTGTGTGTGTGTGTTTATATGTCTATATATATATATATGTATATATATATATAAAAAAACACACACATACACTTGTAATAAGAATACTTGTATTCATTTTTATGTAAAATATCCTAAATAACAATAAAACACTCAGGCCTCAGAATTATTTCCTGTCACCAGATGAAGCTGTTTGCAAATTTTTTTTGTCTTACCTGTTTGTCTTTATTGTAACTTTCCAGATAGAAGTCCCCAGTTCAAAAACACTGAAGGTGCTGTGCTGATCTTTTTACCGGGCCTTGCTCATATCCAGCAATTGTATGATCTCATTTCAACTGACAGAAGATTTAGCTTGTGTGATAGGTGATGTAGATATTCTCTATAAAATCAGCTGATTAACTTGACTAATATATTCTTCTTGATTTTTATGGCCTGCCATTCTTGAAAAGAGATGTTGATAATTGCACCTTTGAGCCTACTTTACACTACAAATATCTTTTACTTTGCAGAAAAGAAGTGCTTAGAAATGGTACAAATGAAACTTATTTTATGGATAAATAAGGGATAGTGAAGCTGTAACATATGAAGAATGTTTGCTGTCAAATTCTAAATATTCATAGATGTACTTAAGGTCTAGAAAAGAAGGAAGTATAAATCTGTGTCTGACTCTTCTTGAAGACTTCTCTTATTTGTGCTGAAAGCTACATGTTTGTAGTTATGTACAAAGCTTCAGTGACAGTCCTTATCTCAAAAGCATGATGTAAAGGACTCAGACTTGTAGACACCTAATTCTGTTTTTTACTATGCTATTTGTGTAAATTTACGTGGAGTTTTACAGTAGTACTAGTACTTCTCCAGCATTATTGCTAAAGAAAAAATCTCTGTGAACTAACGGTGTTTGCAGTATTATTCTTAAAATTGTAGTAAAATACAGAAGAAGGTTTTCATGCCTAACCATACAAAGTTCTTACTCTTTCTAGTGTCCATTCTAGTTGCTTTCTTCATTGTTCTGGTCTTATTGTATGGTAGTATACATATTGATTAGTGTAATTTCTTATTTTAGGCACAGATTGATAGCTTTGCATTCTGTTCTTTCAACACAAGATCAAGCAGCTGCATTTACAATACCTCCTCTTGGCGTTAGAAAGGTATGACATAATTAAAAAGGCAAAGTAAGAAATTATTTCTTTCAGTGAACTGAAGTTATATCATACAGAACCACATGACAACCAGTTGCTCCTAGAACTTTCTCACTAGGAAGGAAGTTCTTCTGTTTTTTTTCAGCAGAGGTCCAGCAGAGGGCCACAAAGATGCTAAAGATTGTGGAGTGTCTCCTGTATGAGGAAAGGCTGAGTACCCTGAAGAAGACTAAGAGGGGATGTGATAAATGTCAATAAATATCCAAATGGAGGTGGGAGGCAGATGGCAGTGTGTAGCAGCAGAGCAAAGAGTAATGGCCTAGAGCTTGAACATAGGAAGTACTAACTTATGGAAGAACTTCTGTACAGTAAGCAGCTCTTCTTCCAAGCTCAGGATCGGTGCGTCCCTGTGAGGAAGAAATCGGGAAAGGGTGGCAGGAGACCTGTGTGGATGAGCAAGGAGCTCGTGCACAAACTCAAAGGAAAGAAGAAGGCCCATGAAATGTGGAAAAAGGGTCTGACTACTTGGGAAGAATACAGGAATGTTGTCAGGGTCTGCAGGGATGCGACAAGGAAGGCTAAAGCCCGCCTGGAATTAAATCTGGCAAAGGGGATAAAGGATAATAAAAAAGGTTTTTTCAAGTACATTAACAGTAAAAGGAAGACTAGGGAGAATGTGGCTCCCCTGCTAAGTGACGGGGGTGTTCTGGTAACAAGGGATGCTGAGAAGGCAGAGATACTGAATGCCTTCTTTGCTTCTGTCTTCAGTGAAAAAGCTCCCCCTTGGGAATCCGAGACCCTGGAGATTAGTGAGAGGATCTGGGGAGTGGAAGACACCCCTTCTGTCAGGGAAGAGGTGGTCCGGGAGCGCCTAGGCAACATCAATGTTCAGAAATCCATGGGACCCGATGGGATTCATCCATGGGTGCTGAAGGAGCTGGCAGAGGTGATTGCTGAACCGCTTTCTGTCATCTTTGAGAAGTCTTGGAAGACGGGGAAGGTGCCTGAAGACTGGAAGATAGCCAACGTCACCCCGGTCTTCAAAAAAGGCAAGAAGGAAGACCCAGGCAATTATAGGCCAGTCAGCCTCACCTCTGTCCCTGGAAAGGTGATGGAACAGCTTGTACTGGATGTCATCTCCAGACAACTGGAAGAAGAGGAGGTTATCAGGAGTAGTCAGCACGGGTTCACAAGGGGGAGGTCGTGCTTGACCAACCTGGTACCCTTCTATGATGTTGTCTCTGGCTGGGTGGATAGGGGGAGAGCAGTGGATGTAGTCTACCTTGATTTCAGCAAGGCATTTGATACTGTCCCCCACGACATCCTTATAACAAAGCTGAGGAAGTGTGGGATAGATGAGTGGACAGTGAGGTGGGTTGAGAACTGGCTGACTGGCAGAGCACAGAGGGTCATTGTTGGTGGTGCAGAGTCCGGTTGGAGGCCTGTAACCAGCGGTGTTCCTCAGGGGTCTGTGCTGGGTCCGGTCTTGTTGAACATCTTCATCAATGACCTTGATGAGGGGATAATGGCCACCCTCAGCAAGTTTGCTGATGATACGAAGTTGGGAGGATTGGCTGACACGCCTGAAGGCTGTGTTGCCATTCAGCAAGACCTGGATAGGCTGGAGAGCTGGGCAGAAAAAAACCGAATGAGGTTTAACAAAGGCAAGTGTAGAGTCTTGCATCTGGGGAGGAATAATTCCATGCACCAGTACAGGTTGGGGGATGACCTGCTGGAGAGGAGCTCTGCGGAAAGGGACCTGGGTGTCCTGGTGGACGACAGGTTGGCCATGAGCCAGCAGTGTGCCCTTGTGGCCAAGAAGGCCAATGGCTTACTGGGGTGCATTAAAAAGAGTGTGGCCAGCAGGTCAAAGGAGGTGATCCTCCCCCTCTACTCTGCCCTGGTAAGACCTCATCTGGAGTACTACGTCCAGTTCTGGGCTCCCCAGTACAAAAAAGACAGGGATCTCTTGGAAAGAGTCCAGCGGAGGGCCACAAAGATGGTGAAGGGCCTGGAGCATCTCTTCTATGAAGAAAGGCTGAGTGAACTGGGTCTGTTCAGCCTTGAGAAAAGGAGACTGAGAGGGGACCTGATCCAGGTCTATAAATATCTAAGGTGTGGGGGGCAGAATGGCGAGGCCGGACTCTTTTCAGTGGTGAGTGGAGACAGGACAAGGGGAAACGTTTGGAAACTGCAGCATAGGAAGTTCCGCACAAACATGCGCAAGAACTTCTTTACGGTGAGGTGACGGAGCACTGGAACAGGCTGCCCAGGGAGGTGGTGGAGTCTCCTTCTCTGGAGATGTTCCAGACCTGCCTGGATGCCTACCTGTGTGACCTGGTGTAGGGAACCTGCTTTGGCAGGGGGGTTGGACTCTGGAGGTCCCTTCCAACCCCTACAATTCTGTGATTCTGTGATTCTGTGAAGGGTGATGGAACACTGGAACAGGTTGTGGAGATTGTGGAGTCATCTATGGAGATATTCAAGTCTGGCTGGATGCCTGCCTGTGCGACCTATTGTAGGGAACCTGCTGCAGCAGGGCTGTTGGAGTTATCTCTTAAGGTCCCTTGCAACCCCTGCGATTCTGTGATTCTGAGCTGGTGCTGTGTAATAGATTGAAGTTAACGTGCTGTGAAAACCTTGGCAGAGATCAGGCAAACTCTTAAACCTAATGTTTTTTCAAAGAGCTTTTTTTTCTACAATTTAACTACAATAATAACTTTTTATTTCAGAAATAGTGTTTTGGTTACTGCCGGGCTAGTCATAGTGGCTATTTTTAGCAAGTAATAGCTGCTATATACTTGATGGATTAAAAAAAAAAAAAACGTGTTTGTGAAATTCTCACAACTTTTGTTTCCTCATTAATTGTAGAAAGCTGAATAATTTTTCAACTAGCATAGTTTTAATGCTGTGTCAGATTATCTAGGAAAATAATTCTGGGTAAGAAACTAACAGTGTTTTCAAAATATTGATTTCAAAGACAAAAACTGACTTTTCATAATTCTTTTATTTTTGCTATTCTATTTCAGATTGTCTTGGCAACTAATATAGCAGAGACAGGTATTACAATACCAGATGTTGTCTTTGTAATTGATTCTGGGAGAACAAAAGAAAACAGGTGAGGGATTTCTTTTTTTTCCATCAGTAACACAACCGATATTTCTGTTAATGTTTACATGCTAGCATTGAGGGAGTTTTGTGGTATCCTTATTAACCTACAGATGAAAAACATAAGCTCATATAATGGTTTGCAATTTAGGTGCAAGATTGGGATGGAGATTTGGACTTTAAAATGATATGAAGAATAGTAAGGGGAGCTTTTTATGGACAAGAATCATTATGGTTAAGTACTGGTTTAGATGTAAAGCAAATCATTTTCATACTATCCCAGGTTTTAAGGGTTAATGTTTTTCTATCTTAAATGTGTAAATCTTTATAAGTATATGTGGGAATACAAGAAAGGTTATTCAGAGCAGCAGCTGTGAAGCAAGATAAAAAGCATGAGAAGGTGAGGCTGAGAATCAAGGATATCTCTAGAAGAAGAGAAAAGCAGAAGGAACAGCTCATGGTTCTGACTGGATAAGCAACTGTAATCACAGTTACAGAGCATTTGTGGAATACTTCGTTGACATAAAGGCAGATGGGAAAGTTGTACAGGAGGATGGGAAAGCTAAAAAATTGTGAATGTGTATAAGTTATGTGAGAACCCATAATAAACAATCTGGATTGTTCACATCTCAGTCCATGCCTTGTTGCCACAAGTATGAACCGATTCTAAACTGCGAGGGAGATGAAGTTGATAAACTAATGCTACATCTCTTTGCCAAATTATATACGTTTGTTCATCAGTTGTATCCAAGGTTCTATGACATGCAGTTTCCCCCAACTATGCTTAGTTTTCAAACTGAACATCATATTCTCAAGTAAGTACTAATAAATACAGTCTCAATAGACAGTTATTTTTAGTCAATTATAGAATATACATAAAAATTTTTAATTCTGAAATCTGAAGACTGGCACTTGCTTTATAATTTTTAAGGTATCATGAAAGCAGTCAGATGAGTTCCTTGGAGGAGACTTTTGTTAGCAAAGCTAGTGCTTTGCAACGCCAAGGAAGAGCTGGGCGTGTTAGGGATGGATTCTGCTTCCGAATGTACACAAGAGACAGGTACTGTACACTTGTTTTGGTAAATCACACAAATACCATTGTCTTTGTTCTGAGAAAAACAGAAGCTTCATTGAAGTTTATTTTTATTATGCAAACTCGAAAGTCATCTGTAAAACTGCAAGTAAGTTGAACAACTTCAATGAAGTGATAACTAGTGTCTTAATTTTAGTTTCCTTTTTTATAGTAAATCATACTCTTTACAACTGTAATGTGTTTTCTAACTTTCTTTTTTAAAGTGAAAGTAGAAACATGGTGTTATGGAACTTGAGGAATTGCTTGCTGCCATGCACCAAGTATATACAAATGTTGCCTCCTGAACACTGAATTTTTTTAATCTTGTCAGGCAGATCTGTAAGCTTCTGAAATGGTGTCTACGTGGATAAGAGAAAAAGACAAATTATGTGGCAGGTGATGTTAGTTTTACTGCGGTGGAATAACATATTTCCTGCCTCTCTGGAACAGAAGGGCCCTTACTTTACTGTAACTTTACCTTAACCTAAATTTCATTTGAATGCATTCTGAAATCATAAGTGAAATGTGCATTTTAACCACATACGACTTCCATTTTGATTTGAGAGCAATGCATTGTAAGAATTTGTTTTGAAAATTAGATCTTTACTGCCTTCTCTGCATTTTCACTAAAGCTCTGCCTTCCAGGATACCGTATGCCTTAATTTAATGAGCAGTCTATTCATGCGTTAAGATACATGACCGCAACACCTCCAAAAAGAATATTCTTGAAGAATGAGCATCTGAAACCTGAGGTTACAACTTGAATTCTAAAGCTAAACTGCATATCCTTGATTCTTTGTTTTTAACATTGCAGGTTTGAAAGTTTCATGGAGTATTCAGTTCCAGAAATATTACGTGTGCCTTTGGAAGAATTATGCCTTCACATTATGGTATGGTTTTAGTTCTGAAATTACTGACTTTGTTAGCTAAAAAGAGACTTGCTAAGACTGCCTTAATCTGGTTTAGTTAGCAGAGTTTTTCCCACCCTTGTGTCATGGGAAATCCAGAGCATGCTGAATGAGAGAGAATTGCATCTGATAGTACACCATTTAACCTCTAACTGAACACAAATTCAGTTAAATATCCTTTGAACTGATATCTGCTGAAATTCCATGCCCATTTCCCTCATCCTTAGTAAGTGCATGGGAAAACTAGTGCAGAAGAATGATTATTTTTCTCCCCACTTCCCCACTGTTTTATATCTGAGGATTGTATTGCCAAGCATTTGTAAGGTGCTTGTATTTAAAATGCTGGATTGTAGCAAACAGTTTCACTTTGGTTGCAAATTAGTGCCAAGATGTTGAATTCCGTCTATGCAGATTTGTCAGTCTGATGCTTACTTCTGACCACTGATAACACTCCTCTGATCACTCTTCATACCATAACTAATCTTTCTGGACAATGAGGTTATGTAAACGTAGTGTAGGGAGGCATCTTCATTCTTATAACCAAGAAATTGGTTAAGAGAAGAAGGAACATGGATTTTTGGCTGCAAGAATTTTTTCAGTTTCCTTTGTAGCTGCTGTAGAAGTTTGTTAAATTACTGTATTTGTTTTCACCTGGTAAAGTAGACTTTATTCTGAAATTTATGCCTATTTGCTCTGTAGAAATGCAACCTTGGCTCTCCTGAAGACTTCCTTTCCAGAGCATTAGATCCACCACAACCACAAGTAATTGGTAATGCAATGAACTTGTTAAGGAAAATAGGTGCTTGTCAGTTAAATGAGCCCAAACTGACTCCATTGGGCCAGCACCTCGCAGCCCTTCCTGTCAATGTGAAAATTGGCAAAATGCTTATATTTGGCGCTATATTTGGCTGCTTGGATCCTGTGGTAAGTAAACAAATATAGCCATGCTTACCTAAATTACTTGCATATTAATTTTTTTTTTTTTAGAAAATGTTAGCTGTTTAATCCAGTTTATTACAAAATGCTGAAAGGATTAAATATGAAGTTAAAATGTGTTATTTAAGGTGAAGAGATCTGAATATCCTGGAGGGAGAATATAATGTTAATGTTCGTAAACTCCAGTTGCCATTCATAGGAGAGTAGTCAAACTTGGATCTGTAGTTGTTAGTCGTGATGTTGGGGGGTATGATGCTTGTAGAAGAAGCTCTTGAATATGAGCAATACCAGTCTGGATTTGCTTGCAGCTGATGCAGGCTAACAGTGTTCTGATAGAAAGTTACTGCAAATTAACTTGACATGGTAATTTACGATGTGGGCACTGTGGTGTAGCTTACACTTTCAGCTAATCCTGGGTGCATGCAAATTGGAGACTGCATGAGTATGTTAGCTGCTGAAATCTGAAAATTGAAATTGATGTATAAATCAAAAGTTCTCCTGGTAACATTGTCTAATCTAAATCAGATGTTGTTCAATCTGTTGACTGTCACTATATCATACTGGATATTCCTGTCACGTGACAAGCTGTTTCATCTGAGTTTTGAGATTCAGTACTTAAGTTTTCATCAGTATATATTAGCATGTAAGTTGTCTTTTAATATAATTAAGGTAATCAGAAACTATTAAATACTAATGTAAAAGAAAATTTACAGTTATTTGTAAGGCACATCTGTAACATCACAGAACAATACTCTGAAATGTTTTATGCTTTATTAACTGCAGGCAACTTTGGCTGCTGTTATGACAGAAAAATCACCATTTACTACACCAATTGGTCGGAAAGATGAAGCAGATCTTGCAAAATCATCTATAGCACTGGCAGTCTCAGATCATATAACAATCTACAATGCTTACCTGGGGTAAGTGATGTTTTCTTGTTCTTATGACAAAACTAGTAACACAAGAAATGCGGTTCTGAAAACAGTCTTTATGAAGCACTTTCTTTTGAATGGTAGCACCTGAAGCTTTTCTCATGAGAATAACAATAGATTGTTAAACACGGAAACACAAAAGGATAATTTGCTTGTTACCATATTCTTTAAAATATGCTTGCTCGTGTACCATTGGCATACTTGTTTTTTTTATCCTATGTTTAAAGTTATTGTTTTTTTTTTTTTTTTTGTCTTTGTGCTGTGTTGATCTGAATATTGAGTATTATAGTGTAGATATGGAAGGAGTATTATTGTACTGTCCTTTTTGGTGTAATAAGATGGATTTTTTCCTTAGGTGGAAAAAGGCTCGGCAAGAAGGAGGACATCGTGCTGAAATGACTTACTGTCGAAGAAATTTCCTAAATAGAACTTCACTTTTAACTCTGGAGGTACATGAAATAATTACATTCTGCACCTGATTCCTATGGAAACATCCTACCCTTTTTAAATGATAATGTATCACAACTTACATGGGTCACTGTGAAAGTAATGCTTCCTATTCATTTTCATGGAAATGAGAACAGATACAAAAAGCCCAATAACACTATTTGATATAGCAAATTCTCAGCTACAAAACACTATTTTTTAACATACTCCATTGCTAGCTGTGTGTTTCCACCTGTTATGTACATACGACAGCCTGTCTTCTGTGCTTGTAAAGATCTCTTACAGTGGAGATAACCCACTGTCACCATTACTGAAATTCACCACACAGTGCCTCGCTGTGCTCACATTCGCTGTCTGGACTCCATAAGTGTTCAGCAAGCACTGATGAATGTCAGTGAGTGTAACTTTCCCACGTGGAGGAGTTCAGTGACGCACCTTTTCTTCATCTGCACTTCCATGTCAGTTTTGCAGTTACTCATGTTGGGAAAATTCATCTTTATTTCCATCAGAAAGTAAAAATTTATGAATTAAAATAGTAACACTATCTGATTCTTAGATGAGATCTGTCACTCAGTTTGAAAGATAAAGCACAGTCATACTTAAATAACCTCTTAAGGATAGATTTCAATATGTACCTGTTTCAAATTTAGAATTTTACTATTTTACTAATTTCAGGATGTGAAGCAAGAACTCATAAAGGTGGTCAGAGCAGCAGGGTTCACAGCACCTACAACTCAGCATCGATGGGATGGAAATGGAGCCACACAATCCCTGTCTCTCCATGAAATTGCTCTTCTTAAAGCTGTACTCACTGCAGGGCTGTATGACAATGTAGGAAAAATAATATATACAAAATCTGTGGACATCACAGAGAAGCTGGCATGCCTGGTAGAAACTGCTCAGGGTAAAGCACAAGTGCATCCCTCCTCAGTAAATCGAGACTTACAGATATATGGATGGCTTCTTTACCAGGAGAAGGTAATGTCGTGGCTCTATCAAAGAGTTAGCTAGAAAAACAGTGAATGTAGCTGATAGTGTGAAAGTGGCATTGCACCTCTAAGGTTAAATAACATACACTAATGTAAAATATATGGGAATATCTGGTTCATCTTTAGGAGTCCTTGATAATATCTAACATTCCCAATGTCGGTTTTTCTGGGAACAGTGAAACAAACAAAACTGACTCTTCTGTGTGAAAGTGCCCCCTTCTTGTTTCAGTTCTTACTTCCCATTTTGGAGAAGCTCCAAAGCCAGAGGTAACATATAACATTTATCACAGCCTTAACCAGAAGAGAGACATGAAATTTAAGTTTTAAACAAGGAAGTTGTAGCACTGAACCGATTTCCTGGTCACTCAAAGTGGGTTAGATGTTATGTCTTCTGTAGTATGGAGGAGGTAAATTGCCAACAACTATTGTGTACAATAATTTGTTTTGATTGGGTTGTTAAAGAAAAAGTAAGTACTTAAGTTTGATTATGTAGATCTTAGGGATTTCTGTTTGCTTGGTTTTAATTCTCGTGTTTGTTTATAAACAGGTGAGGTATGCAAAAGTGTACTTGAGAGAGACCACTCTGATATCACCCTTTCCCATTTTGCTTTTTGGTGGGGATATAGAAGTCCAGCATCGGGAGCGTCTCCTGACAGTTGATGGCTGGATCCATTTTCAGGTGTGCTGGAGTGGTGACTACTTTTTATGGTTCCATTGGCTTCTGTGTTACACAGTTAATCTTCACTCTTGAAGTCCTGCTTTTGAATACTGCTTATGTAGGTTGAAGGGAGGGAAGGAAAGGAGAGGACTTAAGAGAATTATGGGAAAATTTGTGTGTAGTGAAATCTTAACAGCTAGCAGGGGAAGGAGGTCTAATAATGTGTAGCTTACTACAAATCAGTTCCCCCTCTTCAGGAATAAAGTCAGTGTTGGTAGAGAAGGTATTTGAATTAGAAACTAAACCTTGCTTCCATGGAGCAAATGTGTGCCCTTCTGTGCAGTTTTGCTAGTATGTGGGTACCTATTTATCCTTGAAACACTACTGATTTTATTTTTTGTTGCTGAAAGAAAAAAAAAAATCCAAATGGAAAACACCTGTTTGCTTGATTTGGGATGGATTTATCTTCCAAATTTAAGATTTATTTGGGAATGGAAAAACTGAATGCATTTTCTTATTATATTTTTGTAGACAAACTGAAACAAGTCACATGCCAAAATCCTCTGCATCCTGTTAAGTGGCAAACATTAGTTACTTGATTACAACATTCAGTGCTCCTGTGGGCACTGTGCTACACTCAAAGAAATCTATAAACCGCAAATGCTTTCAGCTTAAACTGGGGGCGGCCCGGGGAAAAAAAAAAAAAAAAAAAAAAAAAAAAAAAAGGAGGCTATGGGTATCAATTAATAAATTCATTGTATGCTGGTTGTTATGTTTGATACGTATGTTCTGCTGTTCTTCAGACTGTGATGCTACAAACAACAGCTGCAAACAGATTAGAGGGCATAGTGTAAGCCTAGTTACTTCATGGATATGCTATCCATACACTTAAAACTATGCATGTGCTGAATGTTTATAGGAATATTGTTATAAACTTCTGTGTACGTGAGGTAGTCCTTTTTATCTGAGTTTTTGCATAGAATACTTTTGGCAGTAGTGTGAATATTTGTCTTCTCTGTTCTTTATAGGCTCCTGTAAAGATTGCAGTAATTTTCAAACAACTGAGAGTTCTCATAGAGTCTGTCTTACAGAAGAAACTTGAAAATCCTAAAATGTCACTTGAAGGTAACTTTATTATTGCATTGCTGTTACAATATTTACTAAATGGACCTTGTGGCAGATCTGATAAAGGATTAGTACTCTACACCTTCAACAGGATTAGTGTAACATGAACATAATTTCATTATCTTCAGAGAAATTCAAAAGTTCAGTATAGTTCCTACATCTTATTAAGCTCATCCAAAGATGCGTGGTGATCTGCACAACTGTTATTTTAAACATCTCATATCAAGATGGTGGTAGTACATGGTGAAAAATATAAAAGAAAAATTAAATGACATGTGTTGGATGAATTTTAAATGTTATGTGAGTTATCTCACAATTCAGGGTAACAGGGTGAAATTGCATTTCTGCTCCCTGAAATTAGGGATGGAGGAGCACAGCTGAAGTTTTGGAATACTAGCAGTTCAGAAGAATGCTGTAGATGAGGAGTAAGTGAGGTGCAGTATGCTAATGCATCTGGAGTAGCACAGTCATTTTCTCAATTTCTTTTGTGAAATACTGAAATGACTATCACCATCAGCTCATGGCACACTTTTTTTTTTTTTTTTTAAACAAACTTGCTAATTGCATCCTGTGGACAGAATTTGCTGGCCTTACATTAGAGTCCACCATAACCAAAAAAAAATCAAAAATTTTCTTCAGCTTTCTGTGATAGCTAGATTCATCTTCTGATTTTCTTGATTTTTTTTTTTTTTTTTTTTTTTTCGGGGGGGGGGGGGGAATCTGTTTTTAAGCTTGTTTTTTGCTTACTGTTGTGTTTGTGTTTTCTTTCCTAGATGATAAGGTTTTACACATCATCAAAGAACTGATAAAAACAGAAAACAGTAACTGAAACTGGACTTAAGTAAGAATCCAGAGCTTTGGTAATGCCGGGAGAAATGCACACTCCAACACTAAATGAAAGTATTTAAATGATTAGTTTGGTTAATGCCAGTTACGATGTGGGAAGACTGCATGATTTCTTCATAGAACTTACATTTCTGTATCATCTTTAAAGATGAATGTGTACAGATTAATAAGTTTATCCTTTTATGCCAGCGCCATTTATCAGAATGTATGAATGATCATGGAATCACAGAGTGGCTTTGGTTGGAAGGGACTTTAGAGATACCTAGTTCCAACTCCCCTACTGTGGGCAGGGTTGCCACAAGTTTGATCTGACTGTCCAGAGCCCTGCTTCATCCAGCTAGGAATGAGGCATTCGCAGCTTCTCTGGGCAGCCCGTTGCAGTGCCTCATCACCCTCTGAGTAAAGAATTTCCTCCTAGATTCCCTCTAATCTAAATCTCATTTTAGTGTAAAAACCATTCTCCGCTGTCCTGTCATTATCAAACTGTGTTTAAAAAAGAAAAATTGATTTCCCTCCTGTTTATAACTTCCCTTTAAGTACTGGAAGGCTGCAGTGAGATCTCTGCAGACCCTTCTCTGTTTAACTCCTTCAACATTTATTTGTGGGAAGGTGCTCCATTCCCCTTATCTTCATGGCTCTCCTTTGGGTCTGCTCCAACATTTTCATGTCTTTTTGCTGCTGGGGGCTCCAGACCTGGATGCAGTACTGTAGGTGATGCCTTACAAGGGCAGAGCAGGGACAATAACCTCCCTCACCCTGAGGGCCACCCCTCTTCTAATGCAGCCCAGGATACAGTTGGCCTTGTCTGCAAGTGTACACTGCTGGCTTGCCTCAAACTTTTCAACCACAAGAACCCCTGAGTCCTTTTCTTTCTTTTTTTTTTTTTTTTTTTTTTTTCAGGGTTGATCTTGATGAGTTCTTCTCCCAGTCAGTGTACGTGTTCAGGGGAATCCCAGACTAGGTGTAGTACCTTGCATTTGTTGAACTTGCTGATTTCCTGCCTCCTTGGTTTGATTTTGTATGCTTGGGGATGGAGAGCTCTTGCACACTCAAAAAAGCATTCTTAAAAACTGCTCTCTCTCTTCCTTTCCTTTGCCCTAAGGACAGCTTAGGGACAGGGGATTCCCATAGCATCCCATCCAGTAATTCCTTAAACAGATGGAATCTTGACTCTGTTCTTTGTCAGGCTGACATTCCTTAAGATCACAAACTCAACCAGGGCATGGTTGCTACAGCCCAGAACATCCTTCACTCTTATTTAATGATATTCTCGCATTGGTGAGCACCTAGTGGCACACCTAGTGGTAGTGCTTCTCCTCTCATTGGTTTGTCTAATACTTGGACGAGGAAGTTATCCTCTGAAGCAAGAAGACTTTGTCAACATACTTTTGATGAGGCAGCCTAATGTCCTTTATTCCATTCCTGAATTTTTGCCCACAACCTCAACCTGAACCTGGCTGTTTCTAACAGGCAATTTCTTGTAGTCTATCCATTTGTTAAGAGGGCATCTCCCCTCCCTTCCTTCCTTGTCTATATCTTCTAAAACTCTTGTAGCTCCTAAACTGCATTGTTCCAATTGTGCAGTTTATCCCACTGCATTTCCATGGTAGCAATCCGGTCATAGTCTTCTAGTTATGGCACAGCTTCCATCTTCTCCTGCTTGTTTCCCATGCTGCATGTTTTGGTATAGATGCACTTCAGCTGGGCTACCAGTCACATTACTTTCTTAGAGAAGCCCTACTCAATTCCTTTAGGACAAATTTGAGTTTTTTCACTGCTTCTTCCTAGACTGACAGTGTACTTTGGGTCCTCCCTGTTACTCAAAACTGCATTCACTTCCGCTGTTGAATCTAGTTTAAAGCTCTGTTAGCAAATCCAGCCAGCATGCTGCGCACAATATTCTTGCCCCACGTGTTCAGTTGTGTCCCATCCAATATCTACATTCTCTGTCCCTTTAAGGTGTGACTGAGATCAGAGAACCCAAAGCCCTGAGTGTGACACCTTCCACACAGCCGCTCATTCACCTGGTCAGTTCACCTCCTTCCCAGTCTCCAAACAGGAGATGAGTGGTGAAAGCAGGTTCTTTTATATAAAAATGTCTGTGGCCAACTCCAGCTTTCTTTGCTTCTGTTGTACTGATCATACCATTAATGATGCAGACTGTACTAGTAATTCAAAACTGGGTCTTGAATCTCAGTAGGGTAGTGCTTAGTAGATATATGCAAACAGAACACAGCTATTTCATATGTTGGTTCTGCAAGTTTTTTTTAAGCTATGAATATATGGTATTAAATCAACATGTCTTACAGATATCATCTTTTCTGTATGGCTTACAATTTTAAAAAATGCTGTAACAAGAAGATAGTGTACCACGTTCAGATGCAGGGCTTAGCCAGATGTAGTGACCACCAGCCCATCTCTTTCCTTTGTGTTTCTCACACTTGTTCTTACCATTCACCTGCAAGAATTCCTGCCTTTGGCCTGTCTCTGGGGGCGGTGGGATAAGTTTTGCTTTCCCACAAGCCCTCTTATCTTGTAATGATCTTTATATATAGTCTCACAAGCCCCTTTAAATGTCACAATGCTCATTACGACTGAGTTTATCTCTTCTTGATTAATAAAGTTCAGGCTGACTCCCTTCAGTGCTATATTGGAGCAGATCATTAAATGGCTGAAAAAAAAAAATGGCTGAAGACCACAGGTCTTCATTAGTCTGCTAGCTTGTTCCTTAATTTTTGTGCATCTGCGTGTTTAACTCCATAGAATCGTAGAATATGAAAAATTCAAACCCCATGTCTGGGAGCGTTGTCCAGACGCAATTTGAACTCGGTCAGCTTGGTGCCATGACCACTGCCCTGAGCAGCCTCCAGGACCTCATTGCCCTGTGGGAGGAGCCTTTTCCTAATCCCCAACCCGACTCTCCCCTAACAGAAATTGTTTTGTTTTTCTTGCTTTCATACTGAATAGTCCTTAACCAGATAACATAGTGAAACAGATCCTCTTACACTGTTTACAACAATGAAGTGAGAATTTCAGATAAGGATCTCAGCTATTAGAGTAAAGAAACTGTTACCTTTCACCATGCAGCAGTTGCACTCTGAGCAGGAACCCTGCACGTGCAGACAGTTGCATAGTGCAGAAGATTTATTTCATTTGAGAAGTACAGGTTCCATGCAGCGAGTTAGTGGTGTCTTCCTTTTTAAGGAGCTAATGAGGAAAGTATATGATCTTCAGAGAGACCAAGGAAAATACACAGAAATAACCTGTTAGATGATGATAGAACTGGTAGTGCTGTGCTAAAGGGAAACCATGGGATACTGATAAACTGATCTGTGAACAGTAACTTATACTCCATTCTGGAAAAAGGCAAGTCATAGTGCTTTCCTAGGGCCTCTGAGGTAAAAGTAATCAATCTGCTATCCTTTATGAATTGTGATAACCTAATAGTGTTGCAGCTTTCCTGGAAAAGACAGGGAGTGCATTATTTTTAATTGTGAAGTCTACAACACTTACATAAGTACTTCTAATTGCTTAAGGTTTGATCTTCATGCCTCAATTTTGCACTCTGTTTCTTACATGCATTCTTTTCTGTAGTAAAAGTGTAGATACAAAAAAAAAAAAACAACCTATAAATTGCATTCTTGGAAGATAAAGTTAAATTTTCATCCCAGATAGCAAAATGTCAAGCAAGTGATTTCCTGGATTTTGTTCTGGTTTAAATCTTTTATTTCTCTCCTTTGGAAATGTGAATTGGAGATATATTTCAGTAGTTGGACAACTGTTAAACTCCTCTTTCTTTTGGGTTTGAATTTCAAATGTCAATTGGTATCTTAAAATGACTAAATCTCAGTAAGACTGGTATTTGTCCTTGAGATTTTTCTCCTTTATTTAATCGTGGTGAATATAGACTTTTAATTCCATTTATGTATGGTAATGTTGAAGCTGACAGGAATTCTTTGCGTTTCCCCAGCATGCCCTGCTTTGTAATCTCTTTCTGTTGTTAATACAGAGACTTATTGTAATAACTAAGGAATTGGTGACTGCATCTGGAGTGATCAGCAGTCTCTGCAAAACAGATGAAACAGGTCAAACTGTGGTATTGCAGATAAATATCTTAAAATTTAATGGGGATTTAAAAAAAAAAAGATCACAGTGGCTTTCTGCATATGCAGAGTATGCTTTGTGCCTGTGCTCTTCTGAATGGATGAATTTTCTTTTTGTTCCATGTATTTAATAAATACTTTTACTACGTTGTTGTTGTTTTCCCTCAAAGCATTAGTCAGACTGTCACGGAGTGTCATGGTTCTATGCATAGAACCATGACAGGAGTTAACCGGATCAATCTGTGTATGTTTCCTTCTCTTCTGAGAACCGGGTTTCTGGAATTCAGAACTGCAGTATTAACTCTTTAATTCCCTGTGCTTTACATGATGTTATGATGTGGATTACTGACAAAAAACAAAACTCCATGACATTCCACATCACTATATCATGCTAAATATATATACATATATACAAACAAGCAATAATTAAAATGCATTACATATGTGGCTCTGGAATTACTGACTACACTCCCCCACCATCAAATTCCCTTGTGCTACACACTGGACATCCCCATTCTTCTCCATCACCCACCAAGTGGACCAAGGTCCCTAAGCAAAACAGTTCCAGGGAGAAGTTTGCCCTTCCCAGAGGCTGGAAGGACCCAACTGCTTTTCCCAGCATGTTCTTTACATGTACTACAGGGACCTTATCTCCCTGCATAGTGGGTAGGGAGCTGGATTAGGCAGGACCATCACAACAGATCCTCAAGTGTTGACCAACCAGGTGGCTTCTGCCAAATGCTTCTCCCAGTGCTTGAATGTTCTGCCACTGGTTGCTTTCAACATGGTTTTTAACTGCCCATTGTATCATTCAATTTTACCAGAAGCTGGTGCATGGTAGGGAATGCGATAAATCCATTCAATGCCATGATCTTTGGCCCAAATATTTACAAGAGAGTTTTTGAAATGAGTCCCATTGTCAGACTTAATTCTTTCTGGAGTGCCATGTCACTATAGGATTTGCCTCTCCAGGCCTAATACGGTGTTTTAGGCAGTAGCATGGGGTACTGCACTTTGCAAGCCACCAGTGGTTGCCTCCACCATAGTAAGCACATAATGCTTACCATTGTGAGATCGTGGCAAGGTGATATAATCAACCTGCCATGCCTCCCCATATTTGTACTTTTGCCATCGCCCTTCCCCCCAGAGAGGTTTCATCCTCTTGGCTTGTTTAATTGTGGCGCATGTGTCACAGTCATGGATAACCTGTGCAATAGCATCCACAGTGAAGTCCACCTCTCTGTCTCTAGCCCATTTGTATGTTGCATCTCTTCCATGATGGCCCGAGGTCTCGGGCCCACTGAGCTAGAAATAATTCACCCTTGTTCTGCCAATCCAGGTCTATTTGAGCCACCTCAATTTTGGCAGCTCGGTCTACCTGATGGTTGTTTTGCTGTTCTTCAGTAGCCCTGCCCTTGGGCACATGAGCATCTGCGTGGTACACCTTTGCAGCCATATCCTTTATTCAGGCAGCAATATCTTTCCACAGTTCAGCAGCGCAAATAGGTTCACTCTTCTGTTGCCAGTTGATTTGTTCCAACTGCTGCAACCACCCCCATAAGGCATTTGCCACCATCCATGAGTCAGTGTAAAGATAGAGCATTGGCCACCTCTCCCGCTCAGCGACATCTAAGGCCAGTTGGACAGCCTTTACCTCTGCAAATTGGCTTGATTCTCCTTTCCCTTCAGTGGCCTCTGCAACTTGTCGTGTGGGGCTCCACACAGCAGATTTCCATCTGCGATGCTTTCCCACAGTACAACGTGATCCATCTGTGAACAGCAAATTTCATTTTCTGGTAGTTCATTGTATAGTGGGGCTGCTTTAGCTCACAACACCTCTTCTGCAGGTGGTGTTCCAAATTTTTTACCTTCAGGCCAGTCCATGATGACCTCTAGGATTCCTGGACGGCTGAGGTTCCCCATCTGCGCTCGCTGTGTAATCAACGCAACCCACTTACTCCAAGTGGCATCAGTAGCATGATGGGTGGAGGGACCCTTTCCTTTAAACATCCAGTTCAGCACTGGCAGTCGAGGTGCCAGGAGGTGCTGTGTTTCAGTACCGACTACTTCAGAAGCAGCCCGAACCCCCTCATATGCAGCTAAGATCTCCTTTTCAGTTGGAGTGTAGCACTCTCCTGACCTGTATGCTCTACTCCAAAACCCCAGGGGTCGGCCTCGGCTCATTCCTGAGGCTCTGCCACAAACTCCAAGTGGGACCTTTCTCTCCAGCAGCAGTGTAGAGGATGTTCTTTACATTCTGTCCCATCCATACTGGTCCCAGGGACATGATTTGGGCTATCTCCTGTTTGATTTGCTCAAATGCCTGCTGCTGGTCAGAACCCTATGCAAAATTATTATTATTCTGTGTCACCTGATAAAGGGAGCTTACAATGAAGCTATAGTTTGGAACATGCATTCTCCAAAAGCCCACTATGCCCAGAAAAGATTGTGTCCCTTTCTTGCTAGTGCATGGAGACATTGCAGTGATTTTGTCAGTCACATCTGCTGGGATGTGACAAAACCCATCTTACCATTATATTCTCAGGAACTGGATTTCCTGGGCAGGTCCTTTCACTTTGCTTCACTTAATAGTGGAACCACCATGCAGAAGAATTTGGATTATTCACTCTCCTTCCTTGAAAACTACCTCTGATGTATCTCCCTGCACAATGATATCACCAATATACTCCAGGTGCTCAGGAGCACCACCCTATTCTAATGGAGTTTGGATCAACCCATGGCAAATGGTTGGGCTGTGTTTCCACCCCTGGGGCAAATGGTTCCAAGTATACTGAACGCCCCTCCAGATGAAAGCAAACTGTGGCCTGCATTCTGTAGCCAAAGGAATGGAGAAGAAGGCATTGTCAATGTCCATGGTGACATGCTGTATGGCTGCTTTTGACTCCAGTTCATACTGGAATTCTAACATATCTGGCGCAGCAGCACTCAGTGGGGGTGTGACCTCATTCAGGCCACGGTAGTCCACCGTCAGCCTCCATTCTCCACTGGCTTTACGCACTGACCATATCATAGAATCATAGAATCATAGAATCATAGAATCATAGAATCATAGAATCATAGAATCATAGAATCATAGAATGGCCTGGATTGAAAAGGACAACGAAGATCATCTAGTTTCAACCCCCTGCTATGTGCAGGGTCACCAACCACCAGACCAGGCTGCCCAGAGCCACATCCAGCCTGGCCTTGAATGCTTCCAGGAATGCAGCATCCACAGCCTCCTTGGGCAACCTGTTCCAGTGCTTCACCACCCCCTGTGTGAAAAACTTCCTCCTAATATCTAACCTAAACCTCCCCTGTCTCAGTTTAAAACCATTCGCCCTTGTCCTATCCATTGTGGGAGATTGATAACATGAGCACAAACACAATCACTGTCTCAGCATTCCAAAAATGCATAAAGAACCAAGAGGAGAGCCTGGAAACTGGTTTGAACATCGTGTTGTTCGTAAAATCAGCTATTTCATCTGGGATGTAATTGTCAATATTCAAATCATACAACATTGAATACGGGTACCTGGCAGGTGTCTCATCAGTGCCCTTACTTGCTTGTATATTCATACAACTCCACAACAGGAAATGATGAACTTAGTAAGAAACCAGTAAGTTTCAAAAAACATAATGGTATTTAATCCTTCATGTTCTTCCTAAAATGAAGAACAGTTTCATAGCTGGCAGTTGCTAAAAAGGAAAAAAAAAAACAAAAACAAACCAACAAAAACACTCAGTACAGAGTCCGGAGCCTGGCAGACTGCCCCTACAGTCTAATCTATGAAGGTCAAAGCTAGCTACCAGCGCTCTGCAACTCTCTGACTTAAAGAAATCCTTTTTCTATTTTTCTGCTAATGTTAAACAGTTCAGAGTGCCTGCTTTCTCCACCAAAATCTGTCACGGAGTTATCTAGATCAATCTCTATCCAGCATGGGGCAGCAGGCCTGCAGGCCCACCGGCCCAAAAAAAGGGAAAGGGTAAAAGGGAGAGCAGGGAGATGGGAGCTGCGCCCAAAGACAGAACAGCAGCAACAATCTGAGAAGGAAAGTTGATTTTACTAAATTGCAAGATTACACAATAGAATACAGTATAATTGGAATTGAGTCTAATAAGTCAAATAAAATGAGAGAGAGTGTCCAAAACCGAAGGCCTAACTTTGAATTGAAGGTGGAATGGCTGGGGAGCCACCCACACACTGCCAGGCAGTGAGAGAGAATCCCATCACTTGTGGGTCTTATCTTCCCCTCTGAACACAGTGATGTCCTTTTGGATATGTAGCTCTTCTCATCTGAGAACCAGGTATCTGGAAGTGAGTCCACGGAACTGGAGTATTAACTCTTTAATTCCATGAGCTTTACAGCATGTTATGATGTGGAATACTGATAATAAAAATCATAAAACTATGACACAGACACAGAACAGCTCTTGCTGGGTCCTCACTGGGAGTCTCAACAAACTCATAGAACCACAGATTGCTTGGGGTGGAAGGGTTCTTAGATCTCACTCAGCCCCAAACCCCCTGCCATGGGCATGTTGCCCCCCACCAGCTCAGGCTGCCCAGTGCCCACCCAGCCTGGCCTCAAGTGCCCCCAGGGAAGGGCACCCACAGCTTCTCTGGGCAGCTGTGCCAGTGCCTCACTGCCCCCTCAGTAGAGCGTTTCCCCCAACAAGTAATCCAAATGTCTTCATTCTAAACATTTCCCCTTCATCCTATCACTATTAGACCACATTAAAAAGTACTTCTTAGGTTGTGCTTTATTTTAAAGGCAGCTGTACTTTATTTTAAAGATACATCTTCCCCTTTGAAGGTATTTCCCTCAAACTCAGACTGCAGAGTTCCTATCTCCTCTGCTGCTGTTGGACTGGGGGCTGCTTGAATCTCCACTGCATTTACACATCTCCATTTCTGCCAAAACTGCAGCATAGGAAGTTCTGCACAAATGTGCGCAAGAACTTCTTTACAGTGAGGTGACGGAGCACTGGAACAGGCTGCCCAGGGAGGTGGTGGAGTCTCCTTCTCTGGGGATGTTCCAGACCTGCCTGGATGCCTACCTGTGCGACCTGCTGTAGGGAACCTGCTTTGCCAGGGGGGTTGGACAATAATCTCTGGAGGTCCCTTCTAACCCCTATGATTCTGTGATCCTGTGATTTCCTGTAGCCTTCTTTCCCACCCTTTGACCCAGGTGAGCATCTTTTCCTAACCAACGCATCACAAAAGCAAATCATATCTGATTTAAATTGCCATGTTTGGCCTCAGTTTTGTTTCTTTAAGCCAAGGGTTGCAGTATAAGAACATCCTGATATCCCTCCGTTTGTGTGGAACAGTGCTCTGCCATATGAACGGTCACCTGATGGGAGTAGCATGGAGACTTTGCAGGAGCCCTGCAGCACTCTGAATATCTCCCGATACCTCCCCTTTTCTGTTAGTGCTGCGCTTCCTGGCAGCATCAAATGAAAATATTTCCATCGTGAGCTGTAGTTGTCAAAGCGCTCTGGGTTCTCAGTGAAAAATTTGGGACTCAGAAAGTCGTTTATTTCAGTAGCGGCAAAAAGGAGAACGCAGCAGTTTCAGGGTGCAAGGAGCGGGCTGTGGTGTGAGTGGGTGTTGGGTACCTGTGTCCGGTATTCTCCGTCCTTAGAGCATTTGTCGGAGCCTTCGCAGCAGTGCAACCGCGGTCCCCACGTCCAACACCGCGCGGCTCTCAGCCGCATCCCGGTCGCTTGGAAGAGGTGCGAAGGTGCGAGGAGCTGCGACGGCCCGGCTCCTCCTCGACTGTGTTCTGGGTTTTGTTTTGGAGACCGATTTCCTGCCTCTGCCCGCCCCCCGCCTGCCGGCGCTCAAATACCGCGGCGCAGCGCTGCCGCTCGGACACCGCTGCTGCGCGCGGCTCGCGCCCATGGTGGCGGCGGCGGACGGGCGGCGGGGGGCCACCCCGCAGCGGCTGAAGAGAGGCCCCGGGCCAAGGCACTGCCCGGCGCTCCTGCGGCGGCGGCGGCGGCTGGAGGAGGAGGCGACGAGCGCGGAGAGCCGCCTGGAGCTGCAGATCTTCCGCGAGTACGGGGAGAGCTGGTACCTCTCCCGCAAGGCGCTGGAGAGCCGCTTCCAGCCGCGGGAGCCGCTTGCCCGGCAGCCGCAGGTGGGGACTTCGGGGAGAGTGGGGCCCGGTCCGGCCCGGCCCGGCCCGCTCATCCCGCTTCTGTCGGCGCAGGTGACCGCGGAGGCGCGCTGCCGGCTGATCAGCTGGCTCATCCCCGTGCACCGCGAGCTGGGGTACTCCTTCGAGGCGCTCTGCCTGACCGTCAACATCATCGACCGTTTCCTCGACACCACCCCGGTGGCCGCCGACTGCTTCCAGCTGCTCGGGGCCACGGCGCTGCTCCTCGCCTGCAAGCAGGTACGGCCGAGTGCGTGCGAGCCGGTCGCCCTCGCTCCCCAGCAGCCCCTTTCCTCGCTCCGTCCTTCCCCCCACAGGTGGAGATGCACCCCCCCAGCGTCAAGCAGCTCCTCGCCCTCTGCTGCAACGCCTTCAGCGGGGAGCAACTCTGCAACCTGGAGTGCATCGTCCTGCACAAGCTGGGTTTCAGCCTGGGCGCGCCCACCGTCTCCTTCTTCCTCGAGCATTTCACCCGGGTGCGGCTGGAGGCTCCGGGCGCCGACTCCGGCGAAGCGGCGGACGCGGGGAGCCTGGCGTGGGGCGTAGCGGAAATCAGCCTGGCCGACTACAACTTCACCAAGTACCCGCCGTCGCTGCTGGCCGCGGCCAGCCTGGGGCTGGCGGACCGGCTGCTCCGGCACCGCTGCCCGCTGGACCTGCGGGTCAGCGGATACCGGCGGCGGGAGCTGCGGGAGTGCATGGCTGAGCTGCGGCTGCTCGTGTCGCTCAACGCCGCGGCGCTGCCGCTCGTGCTGCCCGCGGAGGTGATGCGGAAGTGCCTGTGGCTGAGGGACGGCGACTGACGGCGGGGCTGCGGGAGCCCCGCGCTGCGCGTGGCCTCTGGTCGGGAGGTGACCGTGTGTGGCACCGCGAGGAATATGCGCGTGGTCGCTCACTGATCAGAGATTGTTTTGTGTTTCTGCATCCAGCGTGTAAATAATACACACATACCCGGGTACCGCGTTATTTATTCGGGGGGCTGTCCGTAACGGCACCCGAGCGGGAGGAGAGCCCGAGAGAAGCGAAATAAACTATTCCTGTACATCAGCTGCGCGTGGTTCGTTGCCTGGGGCAGACGGGGGGTGGAGGAAGGTGCGCGGGCGCAGCGGGGATCACATCGACAATCAGGTCCCATTAACAATTAACCCGCCAGAGTGATCTCCTGTTTCACACCGTGTGCTGGCTCGGTGATGCTCATGATCAGGAAGAAAAAAGCAAAACATAAGTTCGGCGCAATGTAAGAGAACGGAACGGTACAAAAGACACTACGGGACTGCTAACTTTCCTGGCCAGCCCGTGACCCCGGGCGAACTCCCAGCCAAGTGGCCGGGAAAAAATAAAGGGAAAAAAAAAAGGTAGAGCAAGTTTAAAAAATCAACAGGAGAGACGTAACACGACAGCGATCTTTCTTTATTTCGTTGCCCGTCCGCGTATAGAGGTGCGTAGGGGGGACCGCACCCACACCGCGTGCACGATGCCACTGGTCAGGTTGTCTGTCCCCGTTGTACGCCGTTCAGCGGAAAGCCCCGACACGGCGCGGAGCCACGGCGCGGAGCCCCAGCGCGCAATCCGACTCCCGCCCACCTCCCCCCGCCGAGACCCGCGGCGGCAGTCCGGGCCCGGGGCGGCCATGCGGCGCTCGGGGTGGGGGCTCTGCGCGGCGGCTCCGCCCCGCCCCGACAGCCCAGCGGCACCGCGGGCGCGGGTTCCGCGGGCGCGGGCGCGGGGTTGGCGGGATGGTTCCCCGCCCCGGCAGAGGGATGGAGGCGGGCGGGCATCCCGCGGGCTGGCTCCGGCCCCGGCTCCCCGCGGCCCCACTGCGCGCCGAGCGGGGAGCGGAGCAGAGGCGTCGGCCAGGTCGGGGGCGACGCGACGGCATGGAGCAGGGCGGCCGCCGGGCTTTCGGCAGCATCTGCCCCAACCGGGCGCCGGGCCCGCCCGTCCGCGGAGCTAAAAAGCCCGCGCGGTCCAGCGGGGCGGCGGCGGGGACATCTCCGACGGGGCTGAGCCCTCGCGGACCTGAGCCCCGGCCCCGCCGCGGCCCCTCCGGCCCGGCCCCAGCTCTCTCTCACCGCCGTCTCTCGCCGCCCACGGCGCACGCCGCCCGTGACTGGCAGGAGCTGGTAGCCCGCGGCCCCGTCCTCCCAGCCGCCATGGTCGGCCCCGCCGCCCCACCGCAGGTAACCCCGCAGGTCATCCTGCGCGGCTCCGGCAGTGCGAGAGCTTTGCGGCTGTCGGAGCCAACTCCACCTCTTCACCGGTCTTCATTCGTCCCCAGGGCCCGTGCCTGCAGGATGAGCCGGAGTTCGATTTCCAGGATCTCAGAGATGCTGTCCATGATTTTATGTCTGGCAAGTAGATGTCCATCCTCTCCTGGCCAGATGTGGAGTAACGCAGTGTCTGCGTGCTGCGTTCGGTCTGCTTCTGTTTTTGCTTTCTCGGGTGTTTGGATGCTTGTGACGGCCGACACGGCAGCGCGTCCCCTTGGGGGTAGAACTGAAACCCAGGTGGGGCCAGTGCGCACAGCAGGGACACGGCCGCCGGGGGGTGCTTAGAACGGGGACGGTGAGTCAGGGTCTGAACCCCCAGCCCTATGCCATCACGCTCTGGGTTTTCTCTCCAGATGCCTCCACCTGGGTGCCCCCACCGCCGGACTGCGCTGACTTCGACTTCTCCCTCGGCGAGGACGTGGCCTTCGGCACCTGTGTGGAGCGCCCGCAGCCCCCGGAATCCCTGCAGTCGTGCTGGCGGGACGCGGCCGAGAGACAAGGGCAGGCACTTGGAGATGCTCTGGAGGAAAACAGCCAGGTAGGGCCTGGGCCGAGCCGTCATCCCGCTGGGGACGCTGGCACGTCCCCGTGTTTCTCAGGCGCCGGAGCTGTCCCGAGCGCCCACTGTCCGCTCGTGCCCGCAGCTGCAGGAGGCTCTGGCGCAGAAGCAGGAGGAGCTGGAGACGCTACGGGAGAGCAACGTGCAGCTGAAGGAGCTGGCGAACCAGGCTCGGCAGCTGGCCACGGTGCTCGACGTGAGTGCCGCCCACCGGCAGTGCGGGGCGCGGGGCGGCCGGGCCGCACAGAGCGTGCCGGGGCGAGGCGCTACGGGGCGGCGCGCTGAAGCCTCTCTCCCCTCCGGCAGAAGCTGATGCTCCCGGCGCGCCCCGGCGGCGCGGCTCTTCCTCCTCCCGCTCCTCCTCCTCCCGCCGGGTGCTGCGGGCGCGCGGAGGCGGCGGGCGTGGGCGGCATGCTGCGGGCGGTGTCGGCGCAGTGCCGCGCGGCTCTGCGCAGCCTGGCGGGCAGTCCCGCCGCCAAGCGCCCGCGGCTCCACGGCGCCTTCCGCGGGCTGCGCACCGCGCGCGCGGCCGTCCCGCTGAGCGCCGGCGACGCGGAGCTGGAAGGCGGCGGCAGTCTGCGGGTGGCCTTCGGCGAGCAGGGCGGCATCCGCACGTTGGCCTTCCCGCAGGGCAACGCGTTCACCTTGCACACCGCCGACGGAGGGTACCGCTTCCGATGGGTGCCGCGCTGAGAGCCCGCGGGGTGCCCTCCCGGCAGCGCTGCTCTCTGGGGCGAGAATGGGCAACTTTTCGGATGCCCGAGGACTTTGCGCTGCGGAAGGGCGGGAAGAGAGAGCGCTGTGCACGCGCGTGGCCGAGCAGCCGGTCGGCTGCCTGCCCTCGGGAGGTGCTGCGGCGCGGGGATTTGGGGAGAGCTGCATCGGCCCGGCTGATAACTCGCCGTCAGTATGCGGGCTAATGGACGCGGAGCCACCGTATTGCGCAAATCTGCCCGGCTTGCGCAGTGGAACACAGAATCGTCGCTGGAAAACGGCTGCTGAAAACTACAGCTGTGACAAGAGCAGCGGGTGCAGACAGCCTGTGCCACAACGAGCGTGCCCTCCAGTGTATTTGGATGTGGCTGCCCTCCGCATCGTGATGTTTTAAATCCACAGTGTTTACAAATTGCAGCTTGTCATTCATGTCTGCTACTGTCCATGTGTGCTTGCACTCAGTGCGATGATTAAACAGTGCCTAAAATTGCCTTTGGTTTGTACTTATTTAGCACTGCAGCATTTTGCATTACACTTACGTATTTTCTTTCATCAGAGCAAGTCCAGCAGCAAGCTGTGCTTCCACATGGAGCTCCTTTGCTCCCTGTGCCCAAGCAGAAAACTTCAGGGTGGAACACACTGCTGCTATTGCTCAGTGCTGTTGCCTGAAGCAAGAAGTGCTGCTGACACTCAGTCTCATGAGTGGATATGTGTCACTTGCCCCCATGGCTGGAGAGCTGAAACACCAACTGCACAAAATGACCCCCCCACTCCTTTCCTGTGACCCATGAACGAGTGAAGGCACCGTTCTTTGCCCAGGATGGAGATTTGGTACCTGTGAAATGATTGTTTTTTCCACTTCTCTACACTTGGATGTCCCAGAATGCCATACAGGCTAGCAGAAAACCAGCAGCACTGTGCTGTACCACTGTGGTGGCATCCATGTTCCATGGTCTCAGTGGAACATGTCTTAGGGCAGCTGCAGCTCTGCCCTCAGTGTTGTGCATGTGGTTCCTTGGAGACAGTAGAGATCCGAGCGCCTGAGACCCTCAGTGTCTGTGGTCCTTCAGTGCCTATGGACCTCCAGCATCCATGTCCCCCAGTACTGCAATCATTCAGCAGCTGTGGCCCTGCTCTCTGGCAGTGACATTGCAGCAGGGCTGGGGTTGGGATGCTGAGGGCTTGTCCCTGGGACAAGTACAGAGTCATTCAGTTCTTAGAGAAAGACCTTTATTACTGTGGCAGAAATACTGTGTGAGAGGGCAGGAGAGAAAACCTGTGCTGAGCTGCACTCAGAGCGTAAACTGATTACACAAAGTAGCTTGTACAGATATTTCCTCTGTATGCAGACATAGATATATGCAGTATATATAGAGAGATACATATATAGATGTAGTTCATAATTCTCATAGACATTCCTAGTGACATGTAAGAAATGCAGAATTCTGGAGGTTGCAACAACAAAATGATCACTCTATGACTTTTGCTAGCACTGTTTTTACTGCTGCTTTGTCTTTTCAGAGCTAAAGGTAAATGCTCATTCACTTAATCTTGCAGTTAACTACACTACACTACACTTGATCTTAGCCAAAAGGCTGAGAAGCAATAAAGAGGTAAAGGGTGATAAGAGGTAAGGGGTTTGGGAGCACCTCAGGTTCTGTTCTCCTCTATCACTCCAGTTATAGGGAATAATGAGGCACTAAATATAATGGGCCAATGGATTAATACCTGGCTCAGAGCCTGGTGTGCCTGGCAGGGATTTGGGTTTTTTGACCTCTGCTGTTTGCACAAGACGAGGCTGGCTGGCAACCGATAGGAGTAACTTCTCCCACCGGTGGAAAGGGGTCTTAAGACGCGAGTTGGAAAGGTTCATTCATAGACCTTTGAACTAGGAACGAAAGGGGGTGGGGGTGTAACCGGGGTCACTGGAATGGAGCCTGTATGTCACATCCAGTGCTTGTAGGAGAGAGATATGCTAGTAAGATCCCACAGTCTTGTGTCTTGGTGAAGGAAGAGGACAACTCAGCCTTTTGTAGGAGAACACGAGGGTTGACGTGAGGTTTGTGGCTATGGAAAAACCTGAGTACGGTCATGAAGGTATTAGGGCTACTGCCACTCAAAAGGAGGCCCAGTTCAGGTGCCCCACTAATGCACACAGCATGGGTAATAAACAGGAGGAGCTGGCGCCCATTGTGCGGTCAGAAAGCTATGATACAGCTGCCATCATGGAAATGTGGTGGAATTACACAGCTGGAGTGCTGTGATGGATGGCTACCGACTTTTCAGAAGAGACAGGCAAGGCAGGAAGGTGGTGTTGTAGCCCTCTATGTTAAGAAAGAATGTGAATGTGTGGAAATTAATGATGGTGATGATAGGGCTGAGATCTTATGGGTCAGAATAAAAGTGAAGACCAATAAGACTGATATTACTGTGGGAGTCTGCTACCAGGATGAAGAGGCGGACAAGATGCTTTATAAACAGTTGGGTGAGGTCTCAAGGTCACTCCCGCTCGTTCTTGTGGGGAACTTCAACTTCCCAGACATCTGCTGTATTTATAATATAGCAGATAGGGAACAGTCCTGGAGGTTCCTAGAGTGTGTGGGAGATAAACTCCTGACACAGCTAGTGAGGGAGACAACGAGGGGAAGCAAAATCCTGGGCCTGCTGTTTGTTAACAGAGAAGATCTCTTGGGGGATATAAAGGTTGGAGGCTGTCTGGGGCAAAGTGATCACAAGATGCTAGATTTCTAGATCCTTGTTGAACCATGGAGGGGAGTCAGCAGAACTGCCACCTTGGACTTCTGGAGGGCAGGCTTTCGAGGACCATGGTTGAGAGGATCACATGGGAGCTATTTTTGAAGAGCATGGGAGCCCAGGAAGGCTGGGAATACTTTAAGGAAGTTATTTTAAAGGTGCAGGAGCTGACCTTCCCCAAGTCACGGAAGACAAGCCAACAGGGAAGGAGGCCAGACTGGCTGAACAGAGACCTTTGGCTGGAACTCAAGAGCAAAAGAAAAGTTTATGGTCTTTGGAAAAGTGAGCAAGCTATGTATGATGATTACAGGTATGTAGTGAAGCTGTGCAGGAAGAAAATTAGAAAAGCCTAAGCCCAGCTAGAACTGAAATTGGCCACTAAGGTAAACAATAAATACTTTTGTAAACGCATCAACAGCAAGAGGAGGGCTAGGGAGAATCTCCATCCCTTGTTGGATGCCAAGGGCAACTTGGTGACCAAGGATCAGGATAAGGTTGAGGAGCTTAATGCCTTCATTGCTTCGGTCTTTAATAGTAAGACTTGTTACTCCCTGGGAACAAAGCCCTTTGCGCTGGTAGAAAGGGATGGGGAACAGAAGGGCCCTGCTTTATCTCTGATGAGGTGGTTTTGGACCTGCTCTGAAGGCTGGATACTCACAAGTCCATGGGGCCGGATGGATTGCACCCTAGAGTGCTGAGGGAGTTGGAGGATGTGGTTGCCAAGCCACTCTCCATCATTCTTTGGCAGTCCTGGCTAACCGAGGATGTCCCGGCAGGCTGGAGACTGGCAAATGTGACGCCCATCTTCAAAAAGGGCTGGAAAGGTGATCCTGGTAGCTACAGACCTGTCAGTCTCACCTCAGTGCCCGGGAAGGTTATGGAACGGATAATCTCGGGAGCCACCATGGACCAGTTAAAGGTCAACCAGGGGATCAGGCCCGGTCAGCATGGGTTTACGAATGGTAAAGCCTGTCTGACAAACCTGATTTCACTCTATGGCAAGGTGACCCGCTTAGTGGATGAGGGTAAGGCTGTCAATGTGGTTTACCTGGAGTTCAGTAAGGCCTTCAACACTGTCCCCCACAGCATTCTCATGGAGAAGCTGGCTGGTTTGCATGGGCGTATGCTCCGCTGGGTGATGACCAGATCCAAAGAGCTGTGGCCAACAGAGCTAAATCCAGCTGGTGGCCGGTCACGAGTGCTGTCCCCCAGGTCTCGGTACTGGGGCAGCTTCTATTTGACATCTTTATTAATGATCTTGATGAGGGGATTGAGCGCACCCTCAGTAAGTTTGCAGATGACTCCTAGTTGGGAGGCAGTGTTGATCTTTCTGAGGGGAGAAGGGCACTACAGACGGACCTGGATAGACTGGGTTAATGGGCCAAGGTTAACTGTACGTATTTCAACAGGGCCAAGTGTTGGGTCCTGCATTTTGGTCACAACAACCCCAGGCAACCCTACAGGCCTGGGGAAGAGTGGCTGGAAAGCTGCCTGATGGAAAGGGACCTTGGTGTATTGATGGACAGTTGGCTGAGTATGAGCCAGCAGTGTGCCCGGGTGGCCAAGAAGGCCCGTGGCATCCTGGCTTGTATCAGGAATGGTGAGGTGAGCAGGACTAGGGAAGTCACCCTGCTCCTGTACTCGGCGCTGGTGAGGTCTCACCTCGAGTACTGTGTTCAGTTTTGGGCACCTCAGTACGCTGTACACAGTACACAGTGTACACAGTACATAGGACACTGAGGTGCTGGAGCAAGGCCGAAGAAGGGCAACAAGGCTTGTGAAGGGCTTGGAGAACATGGCCTACGAGGGGAGATTGAAGGAACTGGGGCTGTTTAGTATGGGGAAAAGGAGGCTGAAGGGAGACCTTATTGCTCCCTTCCAGTACCTGGAAGGTGATTGCAGTGAGAGCAGGGGTGGTCTCTTCTCACTGGTGGCAGGTGACGGGACGAGGGGAAGTGGCCTCAAGTTGCACCAGGGTAAGTTCAGGTTGAATATCAGGAAAAACTTCTTTACAGGAAGGGTTGTTAAGCACTGGAATAGGCTCCCCAGGAGGTGGTTGAGTCATCATCCCTGGATGTTTAAAAACCATTTGCATGTGGTGATCAGGAACATGATTGTGGAGGGTTGTTAGAGTTAGGGCAGTATGGTTAGGTCCATGGTTGTACTCGATGATCCTTAAGGTCTTATCCAACCTGAGTGATTCCATGATTAACATGCTCAAAAGTTTCTTGTGATTG